CTCATCCGCACTTATGTGGGTGGGTGGATGGTGGGTGGATTGCGGGTCACCCGTATGACCCACGTCCTATTTTTACATGGAAAAATGTTGTTTCTTATAGTATCGAATATTCATCATATTTTTGAACTGCACTATATTCTGACCATATACTTCAAAAGGTGGAGAATAAAGAATAGTTTTGACTACTATTACTGATTATTGTGTTGTGCAATATCCACTGGCAATGGATATTGGTATGCAAATTATTGTTAATATCCATTCAATATTGGTATACAAACTATAAATTATTAATTGTATCAAAATCACAAATTATTGATACAATCTTACTAATTTGCTATGAACTTGTTAGAAATGTTAGTCAATTTTCTTAATGGCTTGTTGGAGAATTGCTTTTGCGGGTTAACCCGCGACCAAACCACACCCAACCCAACCCGTATAAGTATGTGGGTGGATTGCGGGTCACACATATTCCTGCCCGCTAGTAAGCGGGTGGATCAATTTTAGACCAAAATCCACCCAACCCGCTCATTGCCCACCCCTACTCGTATATGTATGATTAGGAGAGTTTTTTTTTTTAGAAAGTATGATTAGGAGGGTTAATCTGCTTTGTTAGTAGTTAATACTTGATACATACATCCAATATATTTATTGGTCTCACAATTATTTATTTTGGGGATGGCGTCAACTAGCCAGGTCAGAATTCTACATATATACAATCTTGCTTGGCCTCCCACATGGTGTGTTCTAAGTTGGAAGTGTTATGTTGTTTATATGTATGTAATCTAGATAGTTTTTTTTTTTTTTTGGGTAGAAATGGATGGAATTTTGAATGTTAAGTTGTTTTGTACAGTTATTTTCTTGTATTATATTCTTCCCAAGGATAAACAACCGTAATGTTTCAATTGGAGAAGTGTTGATTATGTATTCTATTTCATTTTGATTTTCGAATTGAAGATTTTTTTTTTCTTTCATTTCATAGTTCGTGTTAAAAACAAAAAAAATAACATACTGGATTGAAAATCATATTGAGGTGGATCGGAACAGCTGTCCAATTCATTTCGATTTGGGATGGGCCAAACTCGTTTCGGCCTTTATTCGTTGTTACTACAAAATAATTTCTCTACATTGCATGATATATCTTGGTTATAATCAATGTGACTAATTTCAATGTATGATTATGTAACTCGGTTGATGCATCAAAACAACGACTGCTCGACGCTTAACGATGGAAATGTGCTCAATCACTACAAGTAGGGGTGAACAAACACACCCGCAAATCGACTCATTCGTCTAACCCGATCCAACCCACCCGTATTTATCGTTATAACTAAGGTTTTTGGGTTGTGTGATGATTTTATTTTGTACAACCCGCCTTTTTTGGGTTGGGTTTGGATCTTGGATTACACAACCCGTAGAACCCGACCCAACTCGTGTCCCAACTATTGGTATGTGTTCGTATCCAAAAAAATATTTATGTCTTATATAGTCATAGTACTTATGAGAAAATTAAGATATTTCGCCATGTTTTTCTGTCAAGGTCTCCCTAATCTAATGCATTCTTCGACTTAAAGTTAAGACATAGATTTAATATAGCTTTGATTCACGTAATCCTTTTTCTTGTGTACAATTTTAACAGAATAACATATCATGGATGAGTTCGTTTATAATATTTTTAGCCTATTTCAACAAATGTCATAGAAAAAAACTAGACATTATATTGAAATAAATCACATTTTATATAAATTTAAACAACATTTGTGCCATTCACATTGGTTTATTTCTACCACGTACAATTCTACCAACGCTATAGAGATAATGACAGTAATTAACCTCGTCGATATTTATTTATCAACTAATAATTAAATCTATCTCTACAGTATATTCCCAATTATACTAAACCTAATCTAAACTATAAGAGAAGCAGAGGCAGGGCAGTGTGAACGGAAGAGAGGAGGAGAAGAAGAAGAATACAAAACAAGATCACGAGACAGTACATGCCAAAGGAAAACGACGCCTCCGTCACTCACCCAACCTACCTCTGTAGCTGCTCGGCTGCTCTCTCTCTCTCTCTCTCTCTCTCTCTCTCTCTCTCTTCACTCTGTCGTCTCTGAATCCATCTTCCCTCGCTTCTGCTAAACTTTTCCTATAAAATTCAGAGCCTGTGGCTTAATTTTCTTGTTCTTCGGGAAAATCAAGCTAGCTGCAAAAACTCCCTCCCAAGCTCCCTGCCCAGATCAGATCTCCTGATCTACTCCCCAAAAAACCCAGCAGAGATCGATCGAGATATGGCAGCTTCTTCGGGAATATTACTAAGAACCCATCATCGCCACTCTTCCATCAATCTAGTATCTTGTCCATTTTTGCTCATGCTTCTGCTCTTCTCCGCCGTCTTTTCCTGTTTTAGCATCACCGCCGTCGACGGCCTCAACGTCGGCGTCCAGGCCATCGACCGCCCCGGCGTCGTTCTGGTAATTCATTATCATATGATATGATAATATAATTTGCTGTTAATTAATCAATAAATTAACTTGGTGTTTTTTTGGCACAGAGTAAGGACTGCAGCAGAAAGTGCGAGTCGGAGTTCTGCTCCGGTAATTGATTTGATTTGATTTGGTGTTTTTCTGCTTAATTAAATATAAGTAATGCTTCCACTGTGTGATTAGTTGAAATAATTTGGGAATTTTGGGTTGCAAATTGCATGAATGCAGTGCCGCCGTTTTTGAAGTACGGCAAGTACTGCGGGCTGCTGTACAGCGGTTGCCCGGGGGAGCGGCCCTGCGACGGCCTCGACTCCTGTTGCATGAACCACGACCTCTGCGTCCAGTCCAAAAACAGTACGTTTTTCTTCCTTCATCGTCTTCCGCCTTCGACTTCGATTTCATGGAAATTCTCATTCCTGCATGTAACAAATCCTAGCTAGCTAACCACTGGGAGAGTGACCTCAAAAGTCAAAACTCAAAAGTATGCGAAGAAAAGATTCATGTGAAGAAAAGAGAAGATGCTAGCTAGCTGTCACCGATTAATTAATATATTATTGTTGGATTCCACGTGGTCCGAGCCAGCCAACCAATTCAATCCACGCTGTCACGTCCACAAGTGGCAAGCTAAGCTAGCGCATATGATATATAGGTCAGGTGTCGAGTCATCTTTCCTCGCTGGGTTCAGTTTTAGGGCTATAAGCAAAGCAGAGATTAGTTAGGATTTAGAGCGTCAGTAGATCACCAGGTAAATTTCCTTTATATATATATATATATATATATATTTTCATTTCAGATTAACTTCAACACATCTACTTAAATTTAGCCTTGCTTCTTTACCAAAAAAAAAAAAGCCTTGCTTCCTTTCAAATATTCAAATTTGGCTTCACCTTCTCCTTTCTTTTTAGGGTTTCTTTTTAGGATTATAGGTATAATATGCCCCCTATACTATGACGTTTTATCAAACATTTCTAATATTTTTTACATCAAACATGCCCCTGTAATTTGAAAAAACTATCAAACATGCCCTTCAGTTGAAATTTCCATTGAGAAAATCGTCAATCATGGTTGAACCAAAATTTAGACGACCTGACATCAATAAATGGGAGGGGAAATGTCAGTTTTGACCCTTGTTTTATTTCTCTAGATCTCGTCAAAGTGAAATTATTAGAATTATTTGGCTATACAAAAGAACAAAAAAAAAACTCTAAAGTGAAATTATTAGGGATATTTTAGATATTTGAGTCGCCCAAATCAAAGTTCGGTCTTGGTTAATAGTTTTTGGATGGAAATTTTAACAAAAGGGCATTTTGATAAGTTTTCCAAAGTACAAGGCATGTTTGATGTAAAAAATAGTAAAGGGACATGTTTGATAAAACTCCATAATAAAGGAGCATATTATACTATAACCCTTCTTTTTACTCCAATCCTACTTCTCTCAAATTTAGCCCCCTCAATTTTTTAATCTCTTTTTCATTAGTCGTAGTTGTGAAGTTTCTAATATAATTTTCACTTTAATTTTTCATAGTTTGTCATCATTATTGAAGTTTTTTTTTTATAAATATTTTTTTAACTTCCAAAAAGATATTTTTTGGCCGGACGACTAAACGCGATGACCTAGCCCACCTAAAAGCCCAACAAATTTGGCAAAAGGCCAACCAAGCCTGACAGCCAAAACATCATGTACATCACCAGCCTAACCGCTTAACATAATTAGCAAAAAAACCTACCTTTTCTTTCCAATTGCCGTCTTTCTTTCCTTTGATCGAGTATTTGACCATGTATCCACAAATGCAGATGACTATCTGAGTGAGGAATGCAGCGAGAACTTGATCAACTGCATGAAGAACTTCATCAAATCAGGAGCACATAGCTTCAAAGGCAGCACCTGCCAGGCCACCGACGTCATCGACGTCATCTCTGTAGTCATGGATGCTGCCTTGCTTGCTGGTAGATACTTGCACAGGCCCTGATTATAAGAAACAAACAACTGTTATTATCAGCTTTGCTTTCCCCCTGTACTTCCCTTTTTGCTTAGTTTCTTCCTCTACAACCATTGTATAGATCTGTTATAGTTTCTGCTGTAACTCTTTTTCCACTCATTCAGTTTCTTCCTATCATGGTGTTCGAAAAACTCCTACAATGATTCTCAGCTCGGACGCTAAGGTAAACTCCGACCACCATGATCACCAACTCAATCATGGTGGCAGGTGAGGTAAGGCAAATAGTATGGCTTGTAACCCACCAGAAGTAGCATTCTACTATTCTCCACAACAGAGACAATGAAAGAGTTTGGAAGTAGCATTCTACTATTCCCTACTGAAGAATGGGAAAAATACCCTTATATCAAGTTCATGGCCTGAATTCGCCATTCCACTTGAACCTCGCATGAAATAAATCAATGGTATCAACACAGTTCATCACATCTTAAAAAGCTCAGACAAGATCAAACTATTCAGACAACAAAAATGAAACTAGAGCAGACTTTGTCAACTATGATCGGGGAGCGAGAGAGAGAGGAGTTTAACTTCTTCGTTTCTTCAGGTGTCTGACGGTAGGAGGGACACCTCTTCTTCCCTTCACGCCAACCTTCATGGACTTGGCTCTCTTTCTAGCCTTGTTGGCTGCAGAGGGCATTTCCCTGATAGGACCAGGAGGTATACCTTTCTTGAGGGCACTCCCTCTAGGAGTGGACGAGGGCGGTATTCTCAAGCTCTCTGGAGGCAGAGGGTTGTGTGGCTTCCACACCAAGTTGTTCTTCATGGCAAACCTTACCTTCTTCACGCTTTTGTCTTCGCTCTTGGCGGCAGCATCCCCTTGATCTTTATCATCTGCATTTCCAGACTGCTTCACATCTTTAGTCTTAGTTCTCTTCTTCCTCTTCTTGGTTAGTAGGCCATTTCCTTTCACTTCCACGAGCTCGAGCGAGCTTCCAACACGATCGTCCATACTGACTTCAGCTGCGACTCCCTCAAACTGCTTTTGGAGGTTTGCTATCACAGCATCGTCAAAAGTAATCGCATCGCTCTCCAGATCAGTGCTCTTTTCCTTGCTGGAAACATTATCACCATTTTCTACTTTCTCGCCCCCATCTTCTTGCTTCTCCCTCTTGTTCTTGTTATTCTTCCTCTTCTTCCTATCATCTTTGCCATCATTGTCAGATGAATCCTTATTCCTCTTCTTTGATTCCTTCTTGCCAACGCCTCCATTTCGACCTTCCAATTCTTTCATCTGAGTGTCAATGGGCACCAAACTCGGCACTTCATCGTCATCATTATCTGTACCATCAACATTAACTCGAGGAAGAGAAATTTCGATCCCGGAAAGAGCCAATGCCTTCTCTAACTTCAAAAACTCCTCGTGCAAACCAAAGAGCACTTTCCTGTTGCCTTGAGGACATTCAGCAGAAGAACCCAACTCATAAAACCTAGCAGATAACCCCATAGCTAAGGCAATCGTACCAAGCAAGACCACATCTTTGTTCTCACAATCACCATCCGGATGAGATTTCTTAAACTCCAGCAATTCCCACCCCATAATCAATAACTCATCAAACACATTGCCCTTGATTTTCCCCAACAGCACCTTATCAATCACCTTCCCCATCACCGAACCGAAAGGCGTCAAGAGCGCTTCAACCACCGGCTTGCTCAGAGGCAGAAAGGGCTTGAGCTCGTCGAGGAAACAAGACGCGACATGATAGTTCACGCCATTCCCCCCTGGGAACTTATCGTCAGCCAAGAACGTCCTCTCCAAAACAATACCCATGAAACGATTCGACATCTCCAAATCCCACGAATTCCTCTTCAGGAGGAGGAAAACAGAGCGGAGAACCCTACGCATCAAGAGGTAGAACTTGTCTAACCTGAGGAAATCGATGCCGGACCACTCGCGGCGCATGGTGAGGAGGAAGACGGAGAAGTAGTGGGCGGAGAAGGGCAAATCGAGGGCCGGAATCAAGGAAGCGAGGCGGTCGATGAGGTGGGCCTGGGCGGGTAGTTTGTCGGCGTGCCAGAGGCAGTAGAAGAGTCCCTTCCAGAGCTTCTTCATGTCTTCGTCGGGGAGACTGGACTGGGAAGGAAGCCACGCCGAGAGGAGGGAGCGCAGAGATCTGCTGCGGGTCCTGTTGTCGGAGGCGGCCAGCTGCTTTATGAGCGCCGGCCCTGCTGGAAGTTGGGTTTCCGTCATTGTTTAGGCAGTTGGGTTTCGAGTTCGCCGGAGATTGAGAGGGGGAAGAGCTGGGATTTCTAGGGGAGGAAGACGGCGGCGGAAGAGAATGCCCACAATTAAAAGTCCACTGTTTGTAGCGGCGGGGAGGGCTGTGCAATATTAGCAGCAGCAGCAGGGGTGACCAAAGAGAAAACCCTACGGGAAAATTCCGGCCGGATCTAAACTTATAATTTGAAAACAAGAAAATTATGAAATGGAAGGGCAAAAAAGGAACTAAGGAGCCGTTGGCTACATGCGGACATGCGGACATGCTTTGATGCTTAACCTCAGTCCTACCAAACACTGGATGCAAGTAAAAGTGTCCAACCAACGGCAAAGGTGATTTGGGCAACGTTGTTTGAATGCACCATCTCGATGAGTTATGATGGTTGTTATGTCGGTGGCATGTCCGCTAGTTAAATTTGATTTAATCGATGTTAATAATGAAATTAGCGTGAACACTATCTATAAGATCGACTATAAAAAACTAGTGGATTTTGTCCATTCGGGTTCGGTTTTTCGGGTTTACCCGAAACCAACCCAATTATATATATTTTCAATTTTTCGAGTTCGGGTTCGTTTCGGATTTTTTGGTTTCGAGTTCGGTTTTGTTTATCGGTTTTTCGGGTTCAGACTAAAAACCTCCAATGAATAGAACTCAGCACGTATTCTTAGGCATTCGGGTTTCGATTTTGCTTTAACCGAACCCAAACCCGATAAGGAATTTTTGGGTTTCGGTTACAGGCCACAAGTCCTAATCGGGTTCGGTTTAAGTGATTTTCGATTTCGGGTTTTCGGGGTTTTTTCGAGTTTCGGTTCGGGTAACCGAACCCGACCCGAACTGACACCCCTATGTGCCAGTGCGACTAACCATGACCTAGTGGTTACTGCTCGGGGGTAATACTCGTGCCAAATGATCGAAACTCGAGTTGCGTTCAAGTCACGATGGTGTACATTTGGCTGATAATGCTTTAGGAATTTGGAGTTAGGACACAAAGCCATTAGTGATTTCCAATGGAGATGATAGTCCTGGACAAGAAACAATTAGTCATACTGACAGCCTCGGTAGCAATAATTTGACCAAAAACCGACTCGTCGGCGGCGAGGCCGTTCCTTACTAAAGCAGCTTAATCCTATGAAAGAACAACTTACAGAAATCATGTCGCAGCCGCTGGCTACCTTGAAGAAGCTACCATAGATCTTAACCCTCGATAGGTTCAGCATCACAAAAAACAACTCAAACACAAAAGAGAGGGAGGCAGACTAAGCTTAACTGTCCGGTTATCTCAAGCAGGTGACGGGCGTCTGGTTACTGGGAGGCAGCTCCGGGATGAAGCAGTGCTGCTGCCATTGATGCAACCCACCATCTCCGCCGATGCTGCCAAAATGCCGCCCTTGGTCGATGCTCCCGTGACCATTGCTTTCCTCGACATCCATTGATGCTACGCCAGTTTCATCCGCCTCCATCGATGCCGGTGCTTCAGCTTGGAAATCTCGCATTTGGTTGCCAAATGAATGCTGAGATGAAGCAACCCACGGTACAACAGCCCTGCATCCGCCACCATTCGCTGCAGTTTTGTAACTGCCCCCGGCTTCTGCTTCATCTTCCTGAACCGGTCTCATCTCTGATCTGAGAAATTGATCCCCTGTAGCGAGGGTTTCGACACAATATATTTTTTTTTAATTAGAGACAATTGAAGAGTTTAAAATCGCTGACAATTAATCAAACACCTAGCCGGCATAAGAACAATGGAGGAGTCTTACTCGTAAAACCGGAGAGAATCCCGGAATTCAGCGCGACGACGGAGAGACTCGAAGGCGAGTAGTACGGACGTTGGACGTTCGCTGGCTTGTAGACCACGAGCGCCCTCTCTAGGTTCTCCGTCTCGGCCGACGGCAGCGGAGGAACCGTCTCCTCCATGGACACCATGGGAGAATCCGCCTCGTACATCGCCGGAACTACTTCTGCTCCCTCTTCCTCCATTATCGGAGGCAACGACTCAGCAGCCTGTCAACATTATCGAGACACACAGGAACGGGAATTTCGTGAATGAGATGAGCTACGGCATTCCATTGGAAGAAGAGGGAAAACGAGACAGAGAAGGGGGAATTAGTAACGGTACCAGGCGGCGGATCTTGAGAGCCGGAGCGGAGAGGGAGAAGTCGGAGAAATCATCACGCGCGAAATCGAGGTCGATGCCCTTCCTCTTGTATCCACACTCTCTAGCCATCGCGAAACCCTAACTGTTTGCAGACAATTCGATTGACGAGCTGATGATCAATTCTCTTTCTAATTAGTTACTCTGTTCCTGCTGATGAAGTGATTGAGGAGATGGGGAAAGAATTTGAGCTGATTTTTATAAAGGGAGGAGAGTGGGAAGGAGAGTAAAAGGGAGGGAGATGAGGGCAGGTGGCGGGAGAGGAAGATAGATTGTGAAATACTGAAATTTCGGGGAGGCCCGTATCATTCTCTCTCTCTCTCTCTCTGGGGTCTGGACGGTTCCAGAAATGCCTGTAATGGGCCGATGGTCCAAACCGTAGCAAAAGGGCCCGACAAGAAAGGTCCAGAAGGAAGATATTTATGGCCTGACGTGGCCGTTTTTTATGGCTATTGTTAAATTTACACTATCATCATCCTAATTTCATATTTTTCAATATCATCATCATCATCCTAATTTCATCATCCTAATATCATCATCCTAATTTCATATTTTTCAACGTGTCTATTATATTATTTAGAATCTAGAAGTCTCGTAAATGTAAACTAGTTTACTTAACAATATTTTCATGTTTTAGTTGTCCGAATTTTTTTCAAGTTCGGAAATTTGTCTTTACGCTTCCTCCTTTTTCAGTCGCTCCCTTTTCGTTTGCCCATACTCAAGTGGTGTTCCCCCTTGATGGCTTCTTAAAAATCAATTTTGGCACTAACGTCTGTGGGGATTTTTTTGTTCTATAGGCATAGTTGTTTCTGGCTCTAACGAATTTGTTAATCTGGCTTTGAGGTGTCATCATCTTGGCATCTCAAACTCGTGCATCCTAGAGCTTTCTGCAATCCGAGTTGTCATTTCCTTTGCATCCAGACTTCAATTGTCCACACATGATTATTGAGGACGATTCAGAAGTCGTCATCTTTTAGCTCCATAAAGAGTGTTTGCTATGACTCCTTGGGAGATCCGACCTTGGCCAGGCTTCCGACTGGCGTTTTTACAAACGACATGTTTTCTAAGACGGTTTCTTGTATCAATTGAGTGACCCATAAAATGACAGGTAAAGCCCTATTCATGACAACTTTAGATTTTGTGACCTGGTTACTATAGAGAGGGTGTAAGGGGTCTAGGGCTTTATTCCTTTGTCTCTTGACCTTTTGTAGAACAAAAGGTGTATTGTATCAACCAACATTTAGAGAAAGTAGTTACCATTAACTTAGCAAAATTATGTTAGCTCAGCTTAACAAACTCATAATAAACAAAACCGTTAAGTTCCCATTAACAATTTAGAATACCATAAAGTACCTTTGATTTGGATCAAGTCCTCCCAAATACAGGCTTAGCATCTTCTTGTTAGCTCGGCAATAATCCACTCACAAAAATCAACTGCGTTTTCTCGCCCGGTCACCCCCCACCTTGAGAGTACACGATCTCAAGGTACTGAAAGAATAGGACGTAATGTAGGATAAAGAAAAAAGGATAGAAACCCAGCAGCGAAAACCAGAAAGAAGCTCCCTCCCCTACAATTCAAACTATTTTTATCTGTTCTACATTTCTACTTAATGATAAAGTTCTCTGGAGGGCTTCTGCTGGCTGCTTCGGCTACGAAACCTGAAAGAATCACAGGGGGCAGCACCAGTTCAAGGCTGTTGTGATGGCCGCGGGAATCGCTCTGATTTCATCTTTCTGCCTCTGCATGATATTGATGATGATTCTAGCATTAACTGAATGACACCTTTGGCCACCATTTCTCTGAACCATTTTAGGGGCAAACATGGTTCCATCTTCTACGGGTTCTTTTCTTCCCACAAACCATATAACATAGCCTACATATGCTGCTGCACAAACACTTCTTTACTTGCTCAGTCTGTTTGGTCAGTCCCCTGAAACGTATACCTTCTCGTCGTAGTATTTCTTCTCGCTCTGAGTCTTTTTTGCATTTCGCTTCTGCATCAGGAAAGAGAAAGTGAGGTTGGCCTATTGTTACTGCGAATGATGGTCAGAGCCTCATGTGTTCTTTTGGCTCAAGCGATTGACAAACACTTTTTAAGAACTCCCCCACAGGGGAGGGGAGGCGACAAGCTAAGAATTACCGTATAAGCCTCGTGGTTAGCAATGATTCGTTTGGTGACTGATGTGGTTGTTATGTCTTTAGGGCTGTCGAGCATCCTGAAAATACCCATGGCCTTTGGGACTGCATAAGGATCACTTCCTCCCTGCACGAAAAGATAAGTTTGGTCACTTACATGTCAGAGTACCAATCTCTTGTGTAACATGAAGAGTCAGGAAGACCTGAAAGCTTACAGGTGATGAGGAGTTTCGCTCTGCAACAGTCCCATGCACAACCAACGAAATGTTGAAAGTCGTTATCTGGAGAAGGCAAATGAGGCTCAACTCAGCACTTTCCACTTCTCACAAACAAATGACTTGATGAAGAAGAGATCTACATTTCCGAATCACTATAATGTCTCATCACTGCCAAATAGAAGGTAAATCCTATCTGGTTCTGTATGACCCTAGACCGAGCATTTCAAAGGTAAAAGTTCCAGTATATACAGTGAGGAAAAGAATGGCAGTCAACATACCACGTCCCTGGAGACCTCCCACGGGGCACCAATGATGACTTCATCAACATAACGGCATGCTAGAACGCTAAGGCTACGCTCATGCAAATGCATGATTGGGTAATACCTCCCTCTCTGTTCACTGCAAGAAACACCAATACTGTTACTTAGAATCCTAATGCGGACATCAAACGATGGATGCTCTTAAGCAAAAGGTCTTTTATACTATTATCAACCAAGAATACGAACAGTAATGAACTATCCTCATCAGCTAGACAGAAGTGAGCATACCTGACAATTTGATCTGTATGGATCCCAACGAGTAGAAAGTCTCCAAGCTGCTTAGCTTTTCTGAGAATCTGAGGAAGATAAGACATACTGGTCAATCGAAGCACATCATCCACGCTCCAAACTTTTTAAAGTTCCAGAACCTTATGCATAGGAATCAATGGTTGATGACAAAAACATGAGAAGTTTCCATATTCCATCAAGATGCATCAGGAAAAACAATTGAACCTATAAATAATTCCATAATGGAATTAAAGGAAGTAGTGCAGTAGCCAGAAACCCGGGAAAAGGAAACAGAAGGTTTCTTAACATAGAGGTACAAGCTAGAGAAGAACCATAAAAGATGGTAGACAAACGAGAAAGCCAGCTCAATGACAGTAGGACAAATCTGTCATGGCCTACTAACAAGGAACTTAGAAACACTAATTACCAAAAAATTAACCAAACCAATTTCGTAGGTTACATACCTCAACATGCCCAGCATGGAACAAGTCAAATGCTCCATCAATGTAGACAACACGAGCATTTGGCCCTGGCCCCTGATTCAAGAAAACATACAAGTAAGATCAGCATGCAACATGAGATGGACCGATGAGACGATGATAGATCTCAACACACAAATTCGGAATTCCTAGGCTTCTGAAATCTATGCTCGAGTTCCGTATGATTCATGCAATGAGCGTTGAAACAAACAATACCTTGCCATTAGAAAACTGCACTATCCTTCTAGAGGTTGGTAAAAATTGTGATACATGGGAACTATGGGATTGAGTTCCCTTATCAGCGGGTAAAGGTGATGAACCATCATGGTTGTCTCGAACCTCATTGTCCTTGGTCGTGCAAAGTATCCTTCCTACATTCCCAAAAGCCAAATAAATTAACTGGAGGTCATAATCGTGGTCAATGTACTTTAATACAAAATAGAGAATTCTCGAGACTAGCACTTTCTCGCTAAAAAAAAAAGTTTCACCTATTTCTTCAATAACTGAGACAGCACATACTATGGATGACATCACCATTTCCAAGAAACTAACCATCTAGCCACCTTCCTTCAACAAGTGTGATAAGACTACTGAGATAGAAGTAGTAGTACCTACAATATCTGTGCTGGAGACACCTTCAGTCCGTTTAATTTGCTTGTAACGGCCGGCTTTTTTGGCCAAGGCATAGGCATCGGTTCCATCAGGAAGGAGGCAAGGATCATCACCATGTATGATATAGTCAATCTTATGCTCATTGAACAAACTGTTCATGAATTGCTCCGTAATAGCATAAGGAGCGTCGGCGATTACTTCATCCACCCATTTTAATCCGCTCACCAGGGCCAATCTGTAGTTCAAAAAGGCATCACAAAGAACCAAACTTTGCTGTCACAATCAGATCCCAGCTCCAGATGAGAAAACCCCCCATTTCAGGATCACGATAGACGTTAAACCAAAAGAAGAATTGAAAGGGGACAAAAACCAAAAGCAAAATGAGGGGACAAAAATTAACCTCTCTTCCATGGACAAAACAGGAGGGCCCTTATTGGCAATGATCTCCTCATCGCTCACAACCCCAACCACCAATTCATCCCCCAGGGCCTTGGCTTGCCTCAATGCATTCGCATGACCATAATGCATGAGATCGAAGCAGCCATCCATGTAGACACGGACCCGCTTCTTGTTCTCCCGCCTCTTGGCAGGGAAGATGCCCAGATCGGAGAACATATAGGGGAAAGAAGAGAAGCCAATCCCGCTGAGGTAGCTGGTGGATAAACCCAGCAAGGCGGCGGTGAGCATCAGGCCGCCGAAGAGATGCGGATGGCAGTAAACCCCATCCCAGATCCAACTACTGCTCTCGTAATCCATCTCTCCCCCCTCTTGCTGCTTCGCCGGAAAACAAGAGGTGGAGGAGGAGGAGGAGGAGACTCGCAGCTGGAGAACCTAAAGACGACATTTTGGAAACAATTTCAGGAAATTCGAGACAAACCCACCAAAATCCGGAAACAACAATCATAACCCAGTTTCACCTGGAATCAAAACTTACCAAAAGTGCGAAACCCGGGAGAAGAATGAAGTTCCAGATCGAAAATGCGATTGGTTTTTTAGCGCTCTTTTTTGGAGGGGTTTCTCTGTGGGGTAGATCGAAATTGGTGTCTTAGCGGGGTTGAGGTTGCGTTGCCGGGTCGGGGGATTCGTTCCAGCGAAACTTCGGACAGCCCCACGGCGCGCTTCGTTGAGGAGGAGGAGAGAATTTGTTTCTTCTCGAATATCTCTCTCTCAACCGAAAGAAAAGAAGAAGAAAAAAACTTCTTTGGTTCTGTTTTTGTTACCTTTCCTTCTCTTCCTTCTTTTTCTGTCCTTTTGGTTCCCCCAAAATAATTCATAAAGTATATCAAATGGGGGAATTGTTTTCTTCATTTTTTGTGTGCATTTTTTCTGAGGATTTATATTTATTAAAATAATTACGAATTTCTAGAAGAAAAAAAGGATTAAAAAACAATCCCACTATTGGTCCAGCGTTTTCCACACGCCGTTGCTTTTTGCCTTTATATTTTGATATAAATAAATATAATTATAAAAAATAGAGGAAAAGACTGGAAAATTGCTTTTTGTTATTATTTTACTTTTATTAAACTGAAAAAAACGGCTTTGTGCAATGAGGAAAGATCTTCAGCAGTTAGGGGTGGGCATTCGGTCGGTTCGGTTCAATAGACGATTACTGAATCCCCGAACTATATCAGGAAGCAAACTGATTCCGAACCGAAATATATCTCGGTTCGGTTCGGTTTTAACACCAAACCCGAAGTTCCCCACTTAATCACTTACCCCTACCTCTTCTCCCCCATTTTTCATTTCTGCGCCTCATCTCTCTCTCTCTCTCTTTTTCTCTGTCAATCGCTTTCCCTTTCTCCCAGACTTCCCCAACTCGACCGACGACCATCGTCTCATCTCCCCAACTCCCCGATTCCCCAATCTCGTCTCGTCGTCTCATCCCGTCGTCTCGATTCCCCAATCTCCCGAAACTCGACGAGAATTAGATCTCGAAGATCGGGAGGGTCGAGAACCAGAATAGGTGGTCGCCTCGTCGGAACTTCAATCTCCTGTCAGTCTACAACTCTATAATCCTCAAGGCCTCAACGAGTTTCGCCGCATGCAACGGATCTTCCCCGCCATCGTCGTTGGTGGCACCGCCTGCATGTGCTTGTCGATGAACTGCTGAAGGGGAGGCAGGTCGGAGATGGCCACTCAGGTCGCCACTGAATTTGATGAAGCGAAGTCGTAGCTACAGGCTGCAGCCGTCCGAGAGCGAGGTGGTGAAGCGAAGTCGGCGGTCAGAGAGGAGGCAGGTTGGAGAGGGTTGTTGGCTCTTGGAGTTAGGGTTTTGATTGGGCTAAGTGAGTTGGGTTTTGTTTGGGCTTAGAGAGTTAGGCTGTTAGGGGTTTCATTTGGGCTTAGAGAGTTGGGAAATAGGAATATTTTTGGGCTTATGTAATGTATTTCGGTTTTTCGGTCGGAAATTCGGAATCTCGGTTCGGTTGAAAGAACTCTGGTTTCCGAACTATCCAGATTTCGATTCCGAATTCCGAACCGAACAATAGTATTTCGGTTTCAGTTCGGTTTAGATCGTTTTCGGTTCGGTTAGGTTCGGGTTTACCGAACCGGATGCCCACCCCTATTAGCAGTTGCCACGCACGGCGCTGCCGATGCCACAAAACCGCTAGACGAGAAAGATTGATGAGGATCTAACTTGGGCATTCGGTTATATATCTATTCATAATCATATAATGGGATTATAAGGGCAACTCAAAATAAGTAATTCATAATAATAATTCTCGAGGGGGGACTTGTTCAATCTGAGTTATCGTGTCTTGTGAAATGTGATTTCTCAAAGTACTGTCGTTTACTAACACACCCTCTTCAAATCTAAAACTTTAATTGGCGACCGAATGTCTCTCTGTTTCTGATCTTATCTTGCAGGATTTGTTGGAGGGTTATCAGGACTCACCAACTTGGAGATGCTTGATCTAGGTGGCAATGACTTGAACATCAGCATCTTATCATCTCTAGCTGCCCTCCCCATCTCTCAGAATCCTGGATCTCTCCTCCATCAGTCTCATGGGATCAGTTAACACAAAAGGTTTAAGCATAAATTAACTACCGTCGCGCGTTCAGAAAGTACATTCGAGTTCGTCCTTCCCATTAGTCAGGGAGGGCATGCTGATTAGACATGAATGAATAAAAGTTTCAGTTGCCTGCCTACTCAGAATTGCAGAATCTCAGGTATTTGGAGGAGCTAGACCTGTCCAACCCATCCAATGTGAGTGATAGCTCCCTGGAAACAATATTTGGAAAGATGCCCTCCCTGAAGAATTTGGTACTGAAGGTGGCAGCATACAAGGTAACGAGCCGAACAGATTATGAATTTCGGTATCAGTGTGTGCTAGCAACTCTCATAATCGTCATTCGATTCGTCTCAAAACCATCTCAATATTCAATTGTATCACATCATGTTTGGCAAACCTCGACGTCGGCTCCAATAATCTTAACGGTGGGTTGCCGTCGTGTTTGGCAAATCTCACATCACTTAGAAGCTTAGACCTCTCTGACAATCACTTCACACCGAAGATATGATGTCTAACTCACCACTCAAAAATCTACTGTTCATAAAAGATCTGTCTTTGTCAGACAACCATTTCCATCTCCGTCTCCCAATCTCCCAATCTCCCTAACCCCATTTTTCAACCACTCAAACCTCCAGAAACTTAGAAGCCAGGAACAATTATATAACAGGAGTCTATGCAAAAGATGAGAAGTACTCGCCTAATTCTTCAGTCTCCGAGTTCCAACTGCGGACCCTTGACTTGTCCAGCAGCCAGAGTCATGTTCCTGGACAGCCATTCCCCAACTTTCTATACCATCAGAGGCATCTGCAGTTTCTTGATCTGTCGCATGATTCATTTCGAGGTGGTTTCCCTTCCTGGTTGCTGGAGAATAACACCAATCTGGCTCAACTCATTCTGGCAAACAGTTCTCTTTCAGGGATCCTCCTGCTACCCAACCAATCTCACTTGCGACTAACAGCCTTGGACATCTCAATTCTCAAGCAATGCCCTCGAAGGAAAGGGATTGTCCCAGTTGTACCAAGGAACTATTCTCTTCTACATCTCTGGAATCAATCTCTCCAATAACAGTCTGACAGGCGAAATCCCACCTGAATTCGGCAACTTTACCAACATCAAGGTACTGAATTTGTCTCATAACTTTCTCTCTGGATCCATCCCGTCGACATTCTCCAACTTGAAGCAAATTGAGAGCTTGGATCTATCATACAACAAGCTCAACGGAACAATCCCCAACAACCTCGTCGAGCTGAACTTCTTAGCAGACTTCAGTGTGGCACACAATAACTTGTCAGGCAAGACACTAGGAAATGTAGCACAATTTGGGACATTTGATGAGAGTAGCCACCAAGGCAATGATCTGCTATGCGGATGGCCTCTGCCAAAAAAATTGCTACCACACAAGAGAGGATGATGGAATGCCGGAAGCCCCTCCTCGGATCAATGAGGAAAGTGACGGTGATGGTTCCATAGATATGGGTGCTTTCTTTGTCAGCTTTTCAGGATCTTACGCAGTGATGCTGCTGGGAATAGTGACAGTTCTGTGGGTAAACCCATAATGGCGACGAGCTTGGCTCTATTACGTTCAAGTAGCCGCGGCCAGCTGCTACTACTTTGTGGTCGACCATCTACCAGTTCCGATGAAGTACAGAGTTTCACATCCACGCTGCTTCTAGGAGCTAGGCAGCAGGCATCATTAAAGCTGTATGACGAGAGTTCATTCATCTTCAGAAGACGAACACATCTTTGTTTACCTGAGCTTCAAAACTCCATGTCTCCTTTTTTAATGCTTTCAAGTCTCAACTCTCATTCTTATCCATGTTTCCTATCATCGTTAGGGTTAGCTTACTTGAAATGGTGCACCCACCAGGACCCTCCAACATTCTTTATTTGCTCATCAACCCGGAAAAAAACCAAGCATGACACAAGTAAAGGGGGAAATGATCGTGAAAACGTATTGAATATTTCACCGGTGAGACGAACGGTTTAAAGTAATCGTAGAATTAGGATAGCAAGACCTTAAAAAAGTGGTGATAAAAGCACACCGGCTTGGTCACCAATATATCGTTTAGACCAGTACAACCGGTCAGTAAGGTAAGGTATCACAACTCTGAACAAAAATGCAAGATTATCACTGGTGAAGAAAAAAGTGTTCAAGGATTACAAAACATAGTAAAAACCACCACCAAGACATAGATGAAGAGAACATACAGAGTCACCATTGCAGGCGAAAGAGTCAGAAGCTTGTCGAAATGGAAATAGACAAGAGACTAAATCCATAATCCATACGTTCTGCAATTATTTTGTTTCACGATCTTTAGATGAACTCAAAGAAACTTCCTGTACGGCCTGCCGGCATCTTCATCTTGCATATGCTGTCACCATAGTTGTCAGGAGACTTATCAGAAATGTAAAAATGAATTGCAGCAGTGAAAGCTAATATGCTTGCTAACCAAAAGAAGCCATTTTACAACTCTTGGCAACTTAACTGAGCGAACATTGTAGCCCTGTTTCAAAAAATTTGCTAACTACACTAACCATAACAAGATGTACAAGCTAGCACAGCAATTGCTCCCTCTAGACGATTTCAAGAAAGCATGTGTACGTACTTTGTGAGAGGCTCGGAAGGGCATGGCATATATGCATGTTATGAGGATTTTGAACCATAACACCAAAATTAAAAGAAAAGCGAAAACCAAAGCAGCCTGTCTTCTCGCAAGCTAGCTTTTATCCTTTTTACATCTAGCACAGACTAGAAAAGTGGCAAATATTATCTAAGAAACAATTTGCTAGTTGGTCTATCATCACCTCACTTCCACAACCCATCTTGCCTTCCTCCAATCTATTATTTCTCTCTGCTGCAAGCCTGCGACAAATTGAACTCAGATGACAGCAGCCACCAATCCATAGCAGAGTTTTCTTCATTTGTTTCTATAGTAGAGCATTTGTCTCTCAGTCTCTACCATACTTCTTAGACCTAGCTACCCAATGATCTTCCCTCACATTCATCAATGCGGGCTTCACCTCACAATTTGAAGACAACCCAGTAGCTTAAAGATCTTTGGACCACATAGGTCATTGTGAATACAAGTCACAGCAATGACAAGAGTATCTCTCTACTGGTGAGAGGTGACACATACTGAATCATCACCAAGTCATTACTACGTAGAAAACCAGCAACCACTACGACTTCCGAAATGCCTGCCTTCCCCTAAAAGTTCAGCCTATAGCTACAGCGAACTCAGAACATGAAACAAGGAAATGAACAACTATCCAACAAACAAAGACTGAAATGAACACTCAAATTTTTTTAATCTTCTTCAGAAACCCAAATCGACACATTACCCTAACAATTGGGTCACCGTCATTAAACGATGGCAGCATCCAGTGGGATGAAGAAACGGTAAGAGGAAGGGAAATGAAGCCAAAAAAGCGAAATCCATCATCCTTAAACAACCAGTAACAGTATCACAACTTAATCCCGATCGTACCAGCACAATTCGATCAGCAAATGAGGGGAAAACGTTCATTGGCCAACAGAAACCAGAGAGCAATTTTCCAGAATGACGCCAGGAAAAAAGTCAAAGAGAAAGGCTTACGAATTCCTTGACGGTCCCCTTGTAAACAAGGATGGGGAGGGCGATGCCGAACAAGCCGATGAGGGCAAAGTTGCGGCGAGTCCATCGGAAGTTGTGCTCCAGGTTCTCGCGGGCGGCGCCCCAGTCTTCGATGAACTTGTTCTTGTTTGCCTCCATTCCCCCGCCCATTTTCGCCGCCTCTCTTTCGATCTCCTTCCCCTCTCTCCGATCTGCAACTCCGCCCCGCCAATTCGTCGCAGCCACCGTCTGTTCTACAATCTCTGCTGGTTGCTCCACCCACTACTCCAGCTCGCGATTGGCCGAGAGAGGAAAGGAAAGCCGTTTGGTTGCAAGGATTAATCTGTCACTGCGTTTTTCATTGGTACCGCTTGGGCCGGGCTTTCTCGTCAACGACGGGTTCGACTTTGTGGCCTGGCCGATCATCCGGTGGATGGAGTAAAATATTTAAAAATTAACTAGCTTTGATAAATTTCGATTATATGTTACCGATTTCAATCTCATTATACTGAATTCGAAATAATACTCTAAAATAAATTTTAAATAGTGGTAAATTCATTCGAGTATCCCGCAATATCCCAAATCAGTACCAAACTCCCAGCCCTACTGCTACGAAGCAAGTTGGAACTACAGTTACAGGCTTATAGCTGTTTGTTTTAGGGCTGCCAATGAGCCAAGCTGCTCGCGAGAAACTCGGCGTTCGAATCGGGGAAAAATCGCTCGACACTCGATTTGTTATTTAACAAGCCGGCTCGCGAGCCAAGTTTGAGCTAGACCATGCTCTGCTTAATAAGCTCGTGAGCTAGCTTGACTTGGTGGCTTGTTGAGCTAAACTCGCTAGCTAGGCTGTTTAGAGCTTGTGGAATTATTAATTACTTTTATGAACATTAACATTATCTTGTTAATACGGATGTGTATGGAAGTTAGTTGTTATTTATAGTTTCTAATGTTCTTTTTGTCATTTAAATTCTTATGTGTACACAATTTTCCGCAAGAATGATTTCAAATCGAGCTTATCTTGAGCCGAGCTTATACTCAATTTGACAAGTTGTGTCAATGAGCATTTAACGAGCTCTACCGAGTCGAGCTCGAGCTGGATTATTTTTAATCGAGCTAAGCTCGAGCAGGATTATTAAAATTCGAGTTCGAACCGAGGTTGAGCTGAAAAATTTATAAACGAGCCGAGCTCAAGTTAAGCAAAAACTCGGCTCGACTCGTTTGCAGCCCTAGTTTGTTTATGCATAAACACAAGTATATGGATGCCCTACCTTGCAAAAGAGAACAAACGTTCAAGCAAGCAAAAAGGGATCACAATTTACAGCCTAGCTATCCCAGTTCATCTTCCATGTCAATTACAGAGAGTTGCTCAAAATATATACTACTCTGCTACACCTCATGCCATTTCCCATGCCGAACTGCAAAATATAATACCAAAAAGAAGGCCCCAATTCACGAGGAACCTTCGTGCATACGCTGGCTGGATGTCGAGAAGGGCAGAGAACCCCAGATCTTACTTTACTCCCACAGTAATGCTTGCACGAGAAGCAAGCGATCCGAGTTGTTATCCAAACTATAAAACAACTCAAGCTGCCTATCTTCGTTTCTCAGCCTCCTCATAGCAGCAATCACTTCGTGTCGAGTGAGTCCTTCAATCTTTTCAAGCTCCGACAGGACGTTCTCCCTCATATTACAGAGCTCCTTGCTCTCGCCAAGCACTTTAACAATGAGTTGCGTTGCCTTGGTTATGAGAGTTCGCAATCCACTAAGCTCATCTGTCATTTCAGTAATGATTTCGACGAATTTCGCCTCCTGCTCGTCTTCATCTTCAGAATCATACTGCTCGCTATCGGTAAGGTATTCCATTTCGTCTATTTCGTTCTCCCCAACAGACTCAGCACTGGCTGCACAATCCTTACCAGAAATCCATGGAAGGTGACTAGACGCCATCAATCTGGAAAAAAAGGTACAGAGAAGTTTACAGCAACCACATTAATAACCTATTTACTTAAGACCAACCCATAATGCTAAATTAGTTGGTACATAATATGATCAAAAGGAGATTACATAACCCACGAAGGTACTCTTGAGTATCAGGAATACATATCAAGTTTCATAAGATGACGGCTAACAGCAATTACATGATTCAACAAATCAAATCAGTACAGCATTCATGAGCATGCAACCTACTCTATTGACTCAAACGAGAAACTGCTCTAACCTTGGTGAAAAACAGTAAGTTTAAAAGCAACCTCTTCAATTAAGCTAGAAGAAAATTACTTCTTGACTTCTGTATTAGAATCAAGGGCTCTGCAACAATGTGCTCATGTATCGAACTCATATAGTAGAAAAATTCACAAACACCTTAAGAGCAAACCACTTCTATACCCAAAATACATAGCTTCCAATCGGTACAAGTACAACCAATTCAAGGTTTGCCATCCGGAACCCTAAATATGAATTCGCTCGTGATACAGTCACACTTCAGCTATCAGAACCAAGGTTCCTCGGCGAGTCGCCGCCTACAGTTAACCGGGTCCAGCCATTTCCCAGTAACTGCAGTATTTGCAACAACTAGATCAACTTCCAGAGTTGCTTCCTACTTACTGAAAACCCTAAAATTTCATAGGATAACTCTCTTCAAGCCGCATTTCTACTTTGCTCGAAGCACCTCTACCTGACACGATACCGAAGGGGGCTAGAAATGCTTACGATGATAAAAGAGCTAGCTTTCAGTTTCAGATGATTCGCATCGTTCTCCCCGAGCCCTTGCAAAAAGACTAATGCATTTCTATACTACGAGGTAAAAAACTGCGGCTGGAATGCAAGCGACCGATGAAGAACATAACATTTCTAAAGGCCCGAAAGAAAGAAACGGTAGGTGATGCAGAAAAGCAATGTTTGAGGCTCGTATCGAGAAAACAGTTGACGCACCTGCGCTGGAGCGAACTCTAGAACTTCCGTCGCCGGAATCGAGTGGAAGAAGGTGAAGTCGCAGTAGTTAACCTAAAGGGTAGTAACTAGTAACAATTTTGTTAGACCATCACAACGGATTAAAAACGGTAAACTTTTTTTCGTTTTTTTCCCCAAAAAGATAACCTTGTATTGATTAATAATCGATCAAATTCATTACACCCTGATATACAATCAGGAAAGAATATCAAAAGAACGATACGTATTTCGGCCTACAAATCATACATTAAGACATTATGACTTGCCTGCAAATCACAAACTTTCTCGAGAATGGTTTCAAAGTGATTATCTTGCTTATCGGCCTGTTTTTATCTTACCAATGACCACATTCGCATTCCCTTCAAACCAAACAACAGCAATCCAGACACCACTGGATAGCCTCGCGGAGGACTGGCAGTTCTACTGTTGGTGCATTATCAATATAATCGATATGCAATCCCCGAGTCAAAGACAATCAAATCACTATGGTCTTTTATAATTATTCCTCCCGACGAATGTGATCCATTCCTTATTGTCCCATTCCATATGCAAGTGACTGAGGCCGTGTTTGAAGCAGTAACACTCTCAATCTGGGGTGGATAGTACTAAATTTGGACTAAAAATGGCCAAAAAGTGTGAAAACCTCTCTCGCCACCTCTTTGGATTTGGGTCATGCTCTTTGGCTTTGCTTCATCGATTTGGGTCTCAAATTAAATCAATTATCAATTTTGCACAATTCTCTGCTTGAAGTTTGCAGAGAATCAAATCTGTAGGAACCATAAACTTTGAGGATTCAAATTTATGACATGGAGATCCAAATTTATGAGCTTCACAAATTTGAAAATCTCATATCAAGAAGTGAGATTTGGATCGTGATAAAAAATTCATGATCTAATCAAGCAAATCCAATAAATTCTTTCAAATTCATAATGGCGACAAATTCATTATATATAGAATTTTTTTAAATTCAAGTTTTACCAAAACTGTTAGTTTTAAAATCGATGAAGTTAACCATCCTAGATTTTCATTCCATTAAAATTCAACAAGAAATCTTATTAAAGGTTTCAAATTAAGGTTGGTGACACTAAAATTGAGTTTGAGTATACAAATAATATTGTGGATTGATGAATTAACAAGAATGACCTTTCTTCAAAATCCTTCCACGAATTTGAGGATTTCCACATTTTGTTTTAATATTGTATTTTATTTAAATATGTATGTTGATGTTATTTGTTGGATTCAAATATAAATATTTTGATGATGAAATTTAAAACTATATTGAATCAATGTTTTTTAATGATACAAATCGGTCCGACCAAAATACCGCCTTCAAGAGCCCAAATTAATATATGATTTGGTGGTATGAAACGGTTGAACAACGATTAAACTAAGATTTTAGTATAAAATACCATATCATGAACTTATTCGGTACAAACTTCATAAACATTTGACAATCTCTTAAATGAATACGAGAATTTGTGATTTTGCTTGTAATATTATATCTTATTTAAATATGAATGTATACTGATAATGTACGTATAATTTTTTTGATAAATACATATGTATACTTTTGGTGTTACTAATTTATCATTTTTCCTGAAAATTTTGTTAAATTGACATAATCAACATAACCACTAATTGTATTCCGATCAAATTGACTTGACAATCTTGTGACGAATCATTTCATTATTGTTCCCTCCAAATTTAAAACATTTGATGTTCCCTCCAAATTATATAATCCTGGTCCGTTTCTACTGTTCTCATTCAGGCCCATGCAGTTGTTCGGCCCATGATTGTTTGATTACCCTCTGTTTCGCCTTGTTCTCCGTCGACTCATTTCCGATATATCCTTTTTCCAGTCTCAGTTTCACCTCCAGACCAAAAATGGAGGCGAAATACACTAAAATATGGAGGCCATGGCCCGGAATCGACGGTGGCGACGACAGGCTCAGCTCTTTACCGGACCAAATCATCTCCTACATCCTCTCATTCATGGAAACCAAGTACGCCGTCGGCACCGAAGCTCTCAGTCGACGGTGGGAAGGTCTCTGGACTAGGGTTTCGAATCTCGACCTCGACAACCGCTTGGTTTACGACGACTCTTCGGGCGACGATCTGAAAATTGTATATGCATCAGATGCTAAGAGGAGAGACTCGCAATTTTGCCACTTCGTCGACAAGGTATTGGGAGAGCACAAGAATCTCAATTCTCTTACTCGATTCCGCTTCCATTTCTCAGTGGAGCACCGTCAGTATTCCACGGTGCTTCGTAGAACTAGGTTTAAGAGAGAATTGGTGTTTGGTCCTGCCATTGAGGAGATTGATGTTAGGGTTTGTGGGGAAACAGCACTCGGGATCCCCCAATGTATGCGCTGCATTCCAGAAAACTTCTACACTTTGAAGAATCTGAAAGTTGCCAGGCTTTCGGGGGTCGTACTGGGTGCGATAAACCGGCCCGTCTTTCTTCCTAGTCTGAAGATTTTACAGCTTTCGTATGTTAAGATGAAGGACTTTGAGTCGTTAGGCAGGATCATTTCTGGTTGCCCTGTTCTGGAGATTTTTCACCTGGAGAGTTGCCACCCTTCCAGCAAGAATGAGAGTGACAGAATCGAGGTTTCCTTACCGCGTTTGAAGAACTTTAAGGTTAGCGATTATGGGAATTGGGATGATCCCATGTGTCCCATTGTTATTGAAGCGCCGAATCTTGAGGATCTTTATCTCGAGCACTTCGCTGAGTTGCAGTTCAAAGGCAAAATTCCATTGTCGCGCCTTCATGTGGCACATGTTGATGTAGGCCAGGACTGTCGAACCTCGTATCATGACGTGATTCGGCTCCTTTCTCAAATCTCCAACGCAAGAAAACTGAGCTTATCTGGGGAGACTCTGGTAATAAGGTCCAATGTTTTCTTTTCCAGTGTTCAATTTTGTTCATAAGAGCACTATTTTTTTCTTAACTTTTTGTTTCAACAGGTTCATCTGTCAGCTGCCACCGATGATGATGTTCGACTGCCTATCTTCCCCAATCTGACGCATTTGACAATTGGAATCGGGCTATTTGGGCCAACTAGCTGGTTTCTGCACTCTTTGCTAAACTCAGCCTCCAAACTACAATCTCTTGTCATTGACATGGTAAGTCCACTGTTCATTTGATTGTGATCTGTCCTTCAGTAACTTTTCTAATGAATCTCTACATGAAGCAGAGGGGTCACTGGGGAGTACCATTGAGGTGGGAGGGTCTAGAAACTGCTTGCATGCCACACTGTTTGTTATCAAGCCTGGAGGAAATCGAGGTTAGGGAACTCGTAGCATATCCAGATGAGAAGAAAATGATAGCGTATTTGCTCAAGTCCGGAGCTGTATTGAGGAAGGTGAATATGCATGTAAATAGTCGCTTTCTCGAGTTAATGGGACGCAAAGATCTCGTCGCGCTACTAAAGCTTCCAAGACGATCGAGCACTTGCCAAGTTGAGCTTTTCTTTCCCTTTGAGGATGACCGAGATAGCTGCATCGGCAGCGATGATGAGAGTGACACTGACGACAACGTAGATGATGGTGACCCTGACAGCCCTGATGACGAGATCGACAGCGAAGATGATGCCAGCGACAGTGAAGAGGATTCTCTCTGAAGCATTTCGGTAGGCAAGGAAGGGGGTCTCCGAATTCCCCTTGGGTAAAGATTCTCATATGCTCTCTCTTCTTATTAGATGAGTTGTCTCTTTTTAGAGGAATGGTTTGGATGCATATTATACAGTGTAGCATTTGTTGGATCATTCGGTGACGAACAGAATGTTATAAGCTCTTGTCTAGATTGCTTCGTAAGCTTGCTTTGCTCCATGTTTACTACAAGATAAACACATGCAGCTTTCCCACGGCCCCTCCTAGCCTTCTCGGCCTCCCTAATCCATTGTTAGCTAACCTGAAACATGTGTTCTTGAACAGTCTCATCGACGGTAAGGATTCGAGGGCTCGAAAGATGATCCGTCAAGGAAACCAGCGTCCAGAATCCTTGTATATTGTACTAGGCACGTGTTAGAAGAAGTAAGGATTCTCGATTCATTACATCCATATGCGAGTTCATCGATGAATTTGCATGATTCTGGGTTTTGGCAACGGATTTGTAACTTTTGGTGACGGGAGTCCGCCGCTAAAGGCTGTTATGGTTCTTCAGATTAGCATCCCCGGGTAGGTCCCTGGCCTAATCTTCAGAATGCGGGTAAATCAGTCTCTAAAAGTCTATAAAATATATAAAAGGGTTTCTCAAACCCCCTCATCCACGTCAGCCTCCTTGGCTTCCCCGCAACTTTCGGACTTCTTTTTTTTATTAGTTTTTCTTTTCTCTAAAGTCTAAACCGTTCCCTTCCAAATTCCAATCGTCGTGTTCCTTTATATTTTTTGGATCATACTAAAACTGTTTGAATGCTCTGCACTGTAACGGCAAAAACCGGCAATCCACAATCGTTATAACCACTTAGGGTGCGCCTTCATCGTTCATAGCCCACCAAAATCGAGATCCACAATTTCTTCTCCCTCTAAAAGTCATCCTCACGACGATAATAAGATCATGGATTTCCCTTATGTACCCCACTTCTCATCATTCCCGACCCTTTCACCTCTAAATTCTCTTGATCCGTAATTTCTTAACATTGAATGACAAGTCCTATTTTGAAACTTCCTCCAACCATCTTCTGGTGTCGGCGGCACCCCCAGAAACCAGATCTCGAATTTGTTACTCGATTCATACTCAAGGAAGATTTTTAATACTAGCCCAACCATCTATTTTGAAATCGGCAGCCATACCTTCAAAAGATCCCCTGCAGGAATCCTCCAACCTCAAGATCCGACGAGTTCAACGTCGCAAAGTTCGACCAAATCCCTACCTTTGGAGACGAGGCGAGAGATTGGCCCGATCCAATAAGAAGTAAGATAGAGAGCATTTAAGAGGGATTGGCTTATCGATGATTTGTGTGGTGGGATTAGGAATAGCCATTTCGGAGAAGGATAAAAGGAACGGGTAGATGGCAGTGGGAAGAGATGGCAGCGGATGGGGTGTTGTCGGTGGTGCTGGTGGGGAAGAGGTAGAATAAGACACGCAAAAGATTGGAGCTTTTTCCCTTTTTTTTATACAAAGATTCCCCCCTTTTTTGTTGGTAGAAAAAGAAAGTTTTTTTTTTTGCTTTTTCTCGCTAAATTATCGGATACAAAATGATTTTCTTAATTAAAATGAGTTGTATTTGATGAAGTATAATTCTGTTAACTTTTAGTAAACCTAACAGACAATGTTATTATTTGTATAAATCATCAGTGTTTTGCCGTCATTTTGTATTTTGATAAGTTGAACTGTTATTTTGAATAAATAAGAAGATTCAGAATTTCTATTAAAATGATAACAATCTCATCAAATTAAAAAATAAAAGGCAAATTTACCAAAACCACCTGCCCAAAGGGCAGGGTACAAGCTAGTTTTATAAATGCTAAAAATCTAAAATCAGTTTCATAAGTAGAAATTACAGAATCAAATTTATCAGTAATTAATTAATAAATTAACTAGTCCAAATAATTAAGTGATAGTCTTTTCGGTTACCGATTAATTAATTTGTAGTTAATAAGTTGGTTCATATAAGTCAAAATGTCAAATAGTATTCCCATAATCTATTTAATTTCATTTAATTCAAATTATTAATGAGTGTGCTAACTGGAATATTATGTTTAAAAGAGAGCACTGTCACAAAAAATTTCAATTTCGTAGCTAAAAATGCGAAATCATGCGTAAATGTATATTATAGGAGGAAAAAATAAATTCACGACACTAGTTGTAGTAAACTTCGGAGACTGATAGTAGGATCTCCTCATGAAAAACAAATCCCTGTTATCGTACTCAAATTATTAATGGGTCATATGCTAACTTGAATATTAATCAGTCCCATGAATAAGTTGTTAAAAAAATATTATAGGAGAAAATAAATTTATGGAAAATAAAGTGGTGAACACGAAGGATTTTGTATTAATCTCTTGTGAGTGAAATGATGATAGTAGACTACAGAGACCGATAAAGGGAACTTCTCATTTCTCGATACTGCAATAGCTCTCTTAAACAACAAATCATTTTGCCCCAACAAATCGAATTGTGAGAAGTTTTGTATGTCATTTCTTTTTATTTTTACATACTATCTCAAACAAAGTCTTGTTGTAAACTTTCCGTTTTCACAGGTTTAACATATTACCCCTTATGCTAAATCATTGTCTATATTAGGGAGCGTCATAAGTCATAACGATTCGAACACGAGACATCTCGATTGAAGGCTCCAATACCATATTAACAACAAATTAAGTAATCTCTACAATTCCAGTCGTTGAAAAATGTTTTGTTATCAGTTTATATGTCATTCTTTTTTATTTTACAAGCTCTGCTTGGAAAATAAGTGAAAGACACTAACCATACTCGTCCCAACTCCCAAGCCCATTAGAAACATGGTTGATAAAAGAATCAACCCTTGAATTTAAGACCCTCCAAGCTTTGGAGGGAAGAGGCCAAGGTCTTTCAATAAACAGGGATGACTGCACATAAATGGTCTGAGATCGGCTGCTTCAGCAGATTGGCAGGGCTGTTTATAATCTTATTGATCAATGGGTATAAATAGCAGCGCAAGGAACCAATTAGGCAATTGATTACCTTTCCTTTTCTCTAATCGACCTTTCGGAGTTCAAACATGGACTCCGTTCAATACCGCTGAAGCAGCAGCAAGGTCTGCCTTGGGGCTGCTGCGTCGGCGAATTTTCAGATAGCCGAACTTGCCAGCACCAGGTGACGATCCTTCAAACACATACGGCATGAACCCTGTGGCGCTCTTGTATCTCTGCTGAATCTGTGGCAATTGGAGAAGAGATTATCTGTCAGGCAAACTTTTATTCTCTGGAAACAAACAAACTGACAGGATTGCTTGGCTTGCAAGATATTGATACTCTGGTCGTGCTAAATTCTTTGTACCTCGCGAATTTGTTCGCTGCTTCTCACGCTCTTCTCGCCCATGACACAAACTGTTCCGCCGCTACCACCACCAGTGATCTTTGCTCCGTATAGAGTCCCACTGAGTCGCATCATCTGTACCAATTCCACCAGTCTGTCTGTGCCAACGGAACCCAGGCCGCAAGCACTGTAGCTGTAATGGCACTGCAAGCAAAATGGACGACCAAAAAGTAACTCTCGACTGAGATCCTCTCGCTTCGAAATGAAGGATTAGTTTAGTTGTGAAGAAATGTCACTATGGGATACACAAAAACCTGATACATAAGCTCCCCTAGAGCTGAGAGTTGTTCGTCTGAGGCAGCGGCTGTTAGCAATGATTTAAAAGCCTGCAGATCAAGCAAGCGAACAGATGTGAAATCGTTGAACTGAAAAATTAATATATAAATACAATTGGAGAATGTTAATGCCAACCTTGACTCGGGAATTCTCGTAAACAGGATGTGCGGTAGGTGCTTTAACAGCATAGGTCAGATCTTTGTTGACTACAGTGACAGGATCATCATGACTCGCGTATTTGGTTAAGAATTCTTCACCGGTGATTCGTTCTGGAAGCTTATTTGCATACCCACCTTCATACCTGTAAGAGAAAAACACAGCAGGGTAAGACTGGGAAGTTGTCCTGAAGCCCACAAGCTGGCCATCAAGTTATTTTATATTAACGAGCGCATATTTCTTGTGGTGAAATGATGTGTTTTTGAGATTAACGTAGTAATATAGCTTGGCATAGTAGAATCATTCGTTACAAATGTCCTGTGCTTAATTATTTCGATTGAATTCAAGTGTTTGCCCGCCTGAACTTCTGACCAGAAAGGCCTTCTCACATACCTGTGAGGTGGCAGGTTGCACAAGTACGCTAATGAAGCTTCGGCCTCAAGCAGTTCTGTGCTATTCCTTCCCATCTCATCAGAGTTATTTTCCTTTACTTTGTTAGAGGCCATCGACTTCATCATCTTCCTGCCCATGAAAGTACCAATCCTCACCGAACCATAGTCCGAACCACCAACACTGTGAAAGGACAAGAAATGAAGTCATATCAGTTAATGATTTGAAAGCAAGTTTAACGCCCCTATTTCCTTACTGTTGGAAGAAAACGGCATGGACAAGCTCTTTTAAGTTGAAACAACACAGTATTGAAGTACATAATGAGAAACAGGTATTGGGTCAACAGTACTTTCGACTATTACATCTCTCACGTGGTAATACCAAAAAAAGAAAAAGAAAAAGAGAGAATGCCATTATATACCTGTGTCTAAGACCTGAGTCAATCCCCCAGAATTTTATATGAGAAGGGATATCAACCAATCCTAGCACCTCAGCTGGCTGAAAAGTTAACAGACTAAGGTTATGAGGCGGTAGCATTTGATAGTGACAACATGAGCAGAATTAAGTATATGCTGCTGTTACCTGGCACACCATAGCAAGAAGCTTATTATTTTCACCACATGCTGAAGCCATCTGGTCCATCACTCCGCATGGGGCTCCAACGATGTGGTTCTCCACCTGCAGATAACTACCGTTCAATAAAAGTCCTCAACGGGAGTTCCTGAATGTCCAGAAATGGGATGGGCTAATAATCCCAATAAAACAAAATAGACTAGTAGAGACTAGGAGAAGGGTTATCAGCAGGGAAGGCCATTGGATCATGCCTTCTGACAGAGCAAAGCTATGTCTCTAGGGGCGATCTTCAAACCTGCAAGTAGAAAAGAAAGCATAGCCAACCGGTTACAATTAGAACGCTTAACACAAATTACAAATCGGACATTGTTACTAATACAGCTCAATCATGAATTTTATCAGCACAGAATGTAGAACTGCGGATTCAGTAGCGCAGTAAGTGACAGTTATAGCAGACAAGAAATCAAAGAAATTGAAGGGTTAGTTTATTAGTATTCGAGTCCCAGTAATCACCATGAGCAGCAGCGATAGCAGACATGCTTGCAACCTCAACTGCTGCAGAAGAGGAAACACCTTTGCCCTCTGGAACAGCCGAAGATATCTGAAGTATGGAAGAAGTTTCAATGAAAAAGGAAAAAAGAAATATGTACTAGAAGAAAATAATCCGTAATATGCAAAAGAAACTTTCTCTCAGCCTGCTATTGTATGTTTCCAACATCTTGACATGGTCAATTGCACACAACACACAAGAGCTGACGACATTTTCCTTATATTGATAAAAGTAAACAATTCTCTGAAATACAATGAATTGAGCTTCACTGGATAACTTAGCGTATTAGTAAAATCATTCTGGGTAAAAGGAAGTAAAGTGTGCAAAAATGGTAGGGTGAGAGAGAGAGAGAGACTAACCACAATGCTTATGCTGTCCTCGAAACGGACTCCCAACTCGGTCATTAGTACCAGAATTGCCCCAGCAACATAGGCTGCCCACCTAGAATGTTCAAACTGGGATAATTGTTATAAAGTTGCCGGGAGTCAAACACTCTAATAAATATGTGGGGCAAACCTTTGGGAAGTATCTCGAGAGAAGTAATTGCGTGCAGCCTCATAAGAAATTGGCTGCTCGCCATCCATAAAGTCAGATATGTCCATGTCAAACGTTGGCCCGCGATTACTCAAGTCTGCTCCAAATGACACCTGAAGCAGTCAAAAACGGAAGATATACGAGATCAGAAGAACATATCCCAAAGACAGTATGAACTGAGACTACTGGTGTTTCAATCCATGAAACATTGCTACTGCTGGGCTTGGATTATTTTCTATTACGATCACATCGATTTGTCATTGCTTTTTTTGCATAAAGATCTCAAATGAACAACAGTGAAGAGAGACATGGAAGCGTTAAGCATAAGGGTAAAACGCTTCAAAGAGCCAGATCATACAATTTCTAGAATAGGTGTTTGTTTGTCACTGTCACTATGATGTCTAGCCTGTGCATGCTTCCACAACTTCTGCTTACTAGGATGATTCTTCTGGACAGCAGCATGACATGCTTCTTTGATAGGCATCTGTGAGACGGTTCATGTTAGGTACATAAATTTCCCCTCGCATATTTGCCAAGCATTATGTGAAATCCAGTCACTTCAGGAGCCAAGGAGCATAGAATAATTTGAACAATGAACATAAAAGGAGAAATGACAAAACCTGCAAAACAAGACTTCCTGAATAATCTGCAATTCCTCCCATCACATCCAGTCTACCAGGAGCTCTTGCAACAAATATTTCCTCCTGTATTAACGAACAAGATTGCAAATTAGGGTTTCCCAGAAAATTAATGCTATTAACCTATGGTTAGGACCTGATAAGCAATGAAAGTTAGTATGACCACCCTAAGAAAACAGATACAACTTAAACAACAAGGCATGCATTGTCTTCTTTTTCTTTTTATATTTGTTCTTTCATTTTCTTCTCTTATTGTGAAAGAGGGACGCCAATACATGATCTCGCATTTACATTGCTTTATGCATCATATGAGCAACAATCTCGTTTTCACATTTTATGCACACACAGACAGGAGACAAAAGGGCAAGCTCCAAGCCAGATATCATTCTGAGTTCATGTCTATGATAATTTCTAGCACATTTAAGGTGCAGTATCAGTATCTTCTATAGGAAGTATGATATTACCCCCATGATTCTCCATATCCCGCCATTTGAAACACACTTCTCTGCACATACGTACATAAAAAAGCAAGCGCAACATGGCTACTAGACTTTCATATGAATTTCAAAGAACCAGTTCCATCTAAAATGAATTCAGTTAATAATGTGCACAGCAAGAAGGACAAGTTTGAAAATCACCTCCCAGTTGAAAAGCCTGGCGGCAGCTAGACGCTCACGTAACTGGTCCTTGTTATCCCTTTCAAAGTCAATAGCACTAAGCTCTCCCAAAGCCTTCAAAAAACTAGCAGTATCTGAAAGACCTTGAAGGTCCCCATGGAGAACTTCAAAATCTGGTATATGTCTGCAAGAGCATAAAATAAACGGAAAGAGAAGATAAAAAGTTAGAAAGGGGAAAATAAGTGAACCGTGGTGTATAGAAAATTAACTAAAAGCCATTTTCTGCAAAAGAATAAATGTTGAACAGAAGTTGTCTCCCAGCAGAAAGATCTCAATGTGAAGTGTTGAAGAAAGCACATAATGTCAAAGAATCTTAATGGTAATAATAAAGAACCCACATTTCTTCATTGGAGATAGACTGCTCGTGTTCCTGCAATGGGAATGGTGCATGGACATACCAATCTGGAACATTAGCGTTCCGTTCAGAAATTCCTCTTAGCTGATATCCGAGCACAATTGCATCTCGTAGTCGTCTCGCTCCACAAGCCTGCAGTACAAGAATATGTGTGTTAGGGCATTCAATTGAGTTATGCAAACTGAAGTTACATCCGAATATGAAATGTAGAGCAACAGAAAAAAATATTGCAGAGCAAATATTGACTTATGACAACTGTGCTCTCTGACCAAACAAAGAATTCAAGGTACAGCAGTATCATAAGTAACTGAAGATTGATTAGAAGAACGATAATATAGAGGACAATGCAGATCATTAAACCCTAAACACATAAATAATATGAAAACCAAGTGGGAGAAGAAAAGTAGGATTTACCTTATATTTTGTGTGGGTGTTTCCCTGAGCTGTATCCTGCAGTATGCGTGCAGCTACCTGAACAAATATATTTAGCAAATACATTCTTGAGATAAGACCACAGACGCAGGAAGCAGTGATACAGGCATCTAGATTTGAATCGGGGCTTGTCACAGTAAATTTGGTTTGCCCATAAGACTGTTAAACTGTTGGGCATCAGCTAGAATATTCCTGAAATCTCACCTCGCCACCATTAATGTCCCTATTGTAGCATGGTTTCAAGCTAATAGCATGCTCAATGTAGGGTTGCCAGCATCCACTGAGCAGATCACGTCTAATCATCTCCACACCACCTTTGTAATGCTAAAGTCACGAAAACAAGAAATAAAATACAGTTGAGTGCAATGATAATTCAGCAAATAAACACAATTCATGCAACAAATATGATAAAGAGTTCCACCTCAATAATGTTTCTCAAAAAAGGTTCTTCATTGAAGTAATCTCTCCGTACAAAGATAAATGGCAGCTTGTAAGCCATGGCCTCACTAGATGTACCATATCCAATTTTACCTGGGATAGGGAAATTATAGATCAGAGCATTTAGAAGCACCAACAGCCTTTACTGGAACGAAAGCACAACCGAGTTACCAAGCATGCAATCTGAAGCTGCTATTACGTCAGGTGTATATGCCTCTTTCGGAAGCTTGATAAAATTGGGGGGAAGTTCTTGATCGTCTGATGCACCACACACCTATATCCAATTCAGCATAAATTTCATGGGAAGAAAGAAAAGTAAAAAGTAAGTTCCTAAAAGAAAAGAAAAAAACTAAATGGTTGGAAATATACTTAATATGCCAACTACCCGAACCATAAGAGAACTCATGGAAACTGTTTAACATGAAATATTCTGGCATATAATATTTGTGACCAACTACATGTGCACCAATTCTAAAGAATGTACAAAGCAACGAAACCTGTGTTTAAATTGTAGGATGGCTTTGGACATTGTTTATTGATTGTTTGACCAGAACACTAAAAATGTGCATATATGAAGTGAAAAGCAAGACAAGGATATTTGATTTCAATGCATAGCTTTGTCCAAATCCAGGCTTGGTTGGTGAGGGGCCAAGGCTTTGGAGACATTTGTGCCATTGCATTCATAGATTGCAATATATGTACTATCCATTAATGACTAAACCTTCTAAAGGACTTAGCAAACCAGTTTCTGCTCACAGGGGAAAGCATTTCTATGATTTTGAAAGAGGAAAAGATATACCAAACACTTCCAACCAGTTGGCAAATACTCCTCCTTTAGCGTCCAACCAGCTGGCTGCAAGTAGCAGATAATGGAAAGCACATAAGCAGTCTGGACTCTGGAGCCTGGATTTACCCAGTAACCAAGCATGCGGTGTCATCAAATCGACTGAGAAATTCCATACATTGAGAAAAAAGGAAAACTGTGCAGCGGTAAGAATCTAATAGCACAAATGATGCCTAAATCCTGTATCACTGTTGCCCTTTACCTTTTTTTTCTTTATGTTACACATTCAAGCAGAAGCAACCTTATTGAATTTACATGAAGATAATGTGTCCACTAAGCACCAAAATGTGAGCGGTAAATAAGGTGGACACAAACATGTTGGGAGCTTGCAAATCCAAGGCAATTTAATTGGGGCTTCAGCGAAAACATTCCGAGATATGTATGAGATAAAAAGGTTCAGCAAGAAGGGTAACATGATCCGACATGGCAACTAATAATATGTCATTACAACAAATAAGCAAACCACACACCTGCCCTCCAAAGTTGAAAATCAACAGCTTCACATCATCTCCAACTCCAAGCTCCTTCCTCACCTGCACTACAGGGAAGTTGTGAAATGAATAGCTATCATATGTGCTGCAATTGATGGGAGTTCATAGTTCCACAGTGTAGCTTTATGCCCAAACCTCTTCTCTGCTCTTGTGCAATCGCCTCACCACAAGGGGAACATCAACCACATCACGGAAAGCTGGCACTGCAAGATGGCAGACATTGGCAGACAAAATGTTTTATGTGAAAAATTATAACCAAGTAGATATGGGGCAAGCAAAGACAAATATAATTGACATCAAACAAACCCCATTTGAAGCAAGCAACTTAGATATATCTGATACCGATTTAAAAAGAAAAAATTAAGGACATGGTTTTTATATAAGTAATTTAGAGGACATTTTGTCATCAAGTCTTACTAGGACAAAATCCTGGCAGGCGAATTAAGAATTCGCAATGAGAATAATCTTCAGCAATCTGCAAAGCCACTTAAAAAGATGAGTGATGCCCATTCTTCCTTTGGAAATTGAGTACTAAGATGACTATGGAAGATATAAGATTGATAAATACAATTGTATTAATATCTAATCCCAGCAAATAAAACAGGATACAACAAAATGGAATTGCAGCAAAGTTAAAGAAGATTATATAACAAATCCGTTCTTCAACGAACCAGGGAACAAAAGTGGCAGTGAGTCCTGCACCCATAAACCGCATTCTGACACTACCACTATAATCTGTACTCCTGTGTCGTAAATGAGGAGCTACTCTAGGAAGGAAAGTAGCACTTATGCTCAATGACAGCCAAGTTCCCTCGAATTAATCAAACGGAAGGCAGTTGCACTAGGTTTCAATTTTCCAACTCCAAACAGACCAATGCTATATACAAGAAAATCTGAATTATTACCTGCAGAATAATTGATCGGTGGTGATGGCCAGCAGCCATCACATAATCAGCATAAATGAAGTCCCAGCTGCAACAATTGTTAAAGCAAATGTCATTCAAGTGAAATGGATTTAGTCTAATCAAATGGAAATTGGGATTAGAAAGACAGCAACATTACTCATGAGAATCAAACACAATATAGATAATCACTTCGATGATAAAAAAGAGGAACTTAGAGGATATGAGTTGAGAACAAGTAAGAGGATGAGTAGCAAAATAAATATATCTTTAATGTTGTCCAACTTTAAGTAAATCACTCCTGAGAACAACCAACAGAAAATAGTGGCAACTTGTGAACTTTCATGAAAGCAAAGAAACAGGTAACACAACACTGAGACTGTAACAGCACTTGCTTAATTCACTTCGTCCCAATAAACCATACCAGATATACGACTACAGCAAGTAGCCATATCTTGGCCACAATCAGGCCCTACCCGGTATCCAGCAATAGAATCAATGTGTCATCGCAAAACATCAATATATCATCTGTAGAGTATCCAAAACCATTTCACCTGAAGTTGGTGATACAGACAGAACGAATTCCTGCATCAGCAGCTGCACGGCATGCAATAGGAACAACATCTGAAACCTGCTCCATGAAAAAAAGACTAGTGAGACTGAATGTTACAGTTCACCTGACATCCGACACATATTGCACCGATTCAAGGAGCCACGAGCCGACTGGAAACACAACAAAAAAAAAAGCCGGAAGTTACCACTAAGTCAGCTTTAATTGACTTGAGCCACGCAACTTCTGATGCTAAAATAGACTCCCTGGGAATCACAGCTGTCTGGGAGTACTGCAAGCACCAAACACAACAAAAAATCAACCAACCGGAACCAACTCTGAGCGGTCTAAAGCAACTGAGAGCAATAAAACAGAACTGCACCGCACCTTCTCTAAAGAGGCAAGACGATCAACCGTGAGAGCATCTGACTGAACAGCTCCACAGTCCAACAAGACCTGCAAGGCAGCACGCAAGACATCTAACAGTCACTTTCCAATTGCCACAACTATACCAAGAATCAGAAGCACTGTTACAGAACTCATTTGACGGACATCATTCCACAGTAAATCGAGATTTTGAGGGAGGCAAAAATGATAAGCCACCAATCAAAACGGAGGCAATGCAGCTGAATCAATTGAGAAAAATTATTAGAAGATCGAGTTTGAAAACCCTGCGTAGGAAGAGGTTGGGCGACTGAATTTCGGAAGTGAAGACGTAGTCCGGAGCGGCGGTGACGACGTGGACCAAATGACCGGCGTCGATCAGATGGCGCGCCACCTGCAAAACACATCACCATCAAATCAATCAATCGATCGATCGGCAAATTGAAGCACATTTCCAAAACCACTTCCCCGCCGAGGCGGGAACCAGGTAATCATTTCTTTACCTCGACAACGCGGGTGGCGTGGCCGAATCCGTGGCCAGTGACATAGTAAGCAAACACCAGGGGCGTAGGCGTCGCCATTGTAGCTGTTTCAGGATCGGGAGATGGCGGAAGAGAGAGGAGAGCTGACGAGAAACGTAGAGGAATCGATTTGAATTTCGTTTGACGAAGAAACCATTAAGAAGAAGGAGATCACGGAAACGAGACTGATCAGTGTGTACTTAGCCTATGTTTGGCCCGGCTTTTAGAAGTGCTTTTCGGCTTCAAAAGCTTAAGCAGGGCCAAACACCTCTAAAAGCTCGGCTTTTGAAAAGCCGAAAAGCGCTTTTGTATAACATAAAAGCAGAAGCTCCGATTTGGAGCTTCTGCGAAAAGCTGTTTTGAAAATACAAGATTATCCTTACCATATTTTAATTTTATTTCAGAAAATATAATTTTCCTTCATTTATATCATTTTAAAAATAAAATAAATTATAAAATCATATTATTTAATATAAAAGAAATCTAACAAGATCCATTTTGACTACTTTTTATTGTTTCGAATTTTTATTTATATTTTATATTATAAGTCCTTTATAGTCATTTTACACAACCGCTCATATTAAAAAGCACTTCTAATAGTTTTACAGCCAAACACTAAACTGCTTTTTTTGAAAAGTACTTATCTAAAAGCTCCAGCCAGAAGCTGCTTCTGCAAAAGCTACAGCAGGGCCAAACTAAGCTTTAATTCCTCTTTAACAAACTCTCTCTCCTTCATTTTTTTTTTTTTTTTTTTCGCAAAGTCAGTTGTTATAAAATCAGTCATACAGAGAAAATAAAAAGAGCGCGGGAGTCGACCAATAGTCGAACTCCCGATGAGAGGGCCTTTTATGCCACAAGATGGGCAGCCCTATTGAGACAGCGAAGAACAAAACAGTAAGAAATCCAACTAAAGAGAAAAGTCAAGCTCTGAGCATCCTGCAAGATAGTTCCATCCTGATCATGAGCCAAGTCACCTGTCTGAGGAAGTCTCTCCGATATCGGGAGCTCTTCTGCGTGCCCCTACAAAAAAAAACAAACAAAACACACAAGCGTCCCCACTGTAGGACATCTAAGCTCCACCAAATGGACTTAAACAAGCCATTAAGGCTTAGTTGGATACACCGAATCCAAAACTATGTCAAGCTAATATATTTTTTATATATAGGGATAGTTAAAGAAAAGCAATAAAATAAAACGGACGAAATTGACAAATAAAATGAAAAAAATGGAGGGTAAGTATCAAAAGAAAACAAATAAAAATTACTAATAAATAATGAAGGAAATGTATAGCGGTTAATTAAAAAATAAAGGAAATAAAAAATGACTAAATTGCAGTAACGTAAAATAATGGAAACTGAAGAGTCTGTTTGAGTTACTTACCTGGAGCAGTTACACCATTCAAAAAGGAGTGAAATTGTAATTAATTAAAAAACATAGTTACCAATTACTTGCAGGCTTGCAGCATCCCACAAGACCCGACCGTTCAGTTACCCCAAGTAACCGCCATCTGTCTTCTCTTCCATGCACCGATGTAACCCTAGACCCCGGCGAAACTCATCGTGCGACTCCTCCTCTTCATCTCCGCCAGCACCGCCGCCAGGGGCACAGCCGGACCGCTGGTACACGGAGGTGATGATCGGGTTGCAAATCCGCCTCTACACGCGCCATGGCGGATCTTACGATCAACAACAAGCTTGGCGACGATCTTGTCGAAGAGATTCTGATTCGCCTCTCCAATCACAGGATCGCCTGCCGCTGCAAACTCGTCTGCCGGCTGTGGAACTCCGTCATCGTCTCCGACAACCACTCCTTCAACCGTCGTTTCGTTTCCCACCGCCAGACCATGACTCCCAACGACCTCAAATCCATGGTCCTCAGCATCATCCCTCCCTTATGATTTGGCTGTTTGAATTCTGAAAGTAGTCATGGGATTAAACTCACCGGCCACTTCTGGAGGCGACAGCGGTTGATTGGAAGAGGAGGAGACCACAGCGGCGAGGAGGAGAGATCACAGCTTTACGGAAGAAAGATAGGAACCCAACGCGAGATGAAAAGGCAATTGTCAGCTTAACTATCTGTTTTCCTGGATATTTGATTATTATCTCAACCAGGAATGATTTCAGTGTCCTTCATTTCAATGTTTCAGTTTTTGATTGTTTCTTTGTCCTGATGTGAAAAGTTTGGTTGTTGTTGCTGTTGTTTGGATTCGGCATCCATGATCCAATAGATGGTTACGTGAATATTCATTTCCGTTAAGGAAAGAAAAACGGTGACGTTTCGAAAGACAATAATGTAAGATAAGATAGTATCTTCCAATGTGATAAAAGATTTCCCGTTACACTGATTTGGATAATGAGAACTGTTAAAATAAAAAATGAAAAGATAATGTGATGTGCATTTTATTTTATATTTTATTGGACTTAAGAAAATAAGTAAATAACCACCATTTTAAAGAAGTCGTAGAAGTGTGATGGAGTGGTGCCATCCTCAAATATATAAGATATTCATCGTTTAATAAGATTATGAGTTTTATTCTTGCTTTCATGTTATCCATCGAGTTAATAGAGCAGTACATTTTGTAATAAAAAAATATTCTCTCATTGAAAGGTACACAAATAGTCACCCGTGATATTGTTTTGTTCTTTGACTTTGTATCCTTTGTCTAGTTTTTTACTATGTTAAACAAAATGTTTTGCTATTCGTCGTCCTCTCTTTTACTAATCATCGCACTAAATTGATGTAAAAAACTCTTACTGCCTTTATAAGAATATAACATTTATGCCGAGAATATGAAATTTATAGTATGAAAATATGATATTCATTACATCAATTTAGAACGATAATTAGTAAAAAGTAGAACAACGAATAACAATCCTCTAAACAAAAAGTGATGTTTAACTGTTTAAGTTGAGTACAAATAATGCAGCGGAGCCGACAGCCAGCGAGGAATAGAGAATGAAGAACTCTTGCTGCTCCTTCCCTTCTTCTCTGCCAACTGTAACTACTCCAAACACTCTCAATCATGAACTCTCTCCTAGCCTTCTTGTTCCTACTGTAAGTTAATCCCTGTTTCAATTTCGCAGAGTCATCAGGTGGATTTCGGCTACAAATGGAGTTTCAGGTTTCCAATCCAGAGAATGGGCAGCTGCACGGCAGTTTCTGCTTCCCAGGTGAATCATCCAAACTCTTTCCTTCAAATCCGAGCTGGGTTCCCGTCTTCAGAACTTCTACGCCCTCTAAAATGAACGGAAATCTGTTGAGTGAATTATGAACGCCATGTGTTCGACGAATTTCCCAGCAGAAATAGTAACTGGGAAACAGAAAGCCTCTCCCTTTGCATAGGATTCACGGGTTCATTCTATATGCTGTAGGGAAGGAGTAATTTGGCCCAAGAAAAGAATCAAGACGCTGCCAAAAAAGAGTTGCTGCCAGTTTCCGGAAATGGTACTCTGGTTAAAGCTGAAAAATTTGCGTCTGTTACTACTCCCTTGGTGACTGCTCTGAAAGCTTCAGCAGAGCAGAATGTAGCCAGGTTCCACTTCCCAGGGCACAACAGCGGCCGTGGGGCTCCGAGTTCGTTGACTCGGCTGATTGGTTCGCAACCATTTGCTCATGATTTACCTGAGCTCCCGGAGCTGGACAGTCTATTTGCTCCGAGTGGCCCCATTTTAGAGGCACAACAGCAGGCTGCCAAAGTGTTTGGCGCATCCGCGACATGGTTCCTTGTTGGAGGTACAACGTGTGGAGTTCAAGCAGCAATCATGGCGACCTGTTCCCCTGGACAGTATGTTATCCTACCACGTAATTCGCATATGTCAGCGACATCTGCTATGGTATTGTCTGGAGCGGTGCCCAAGTACATTGTTCCTGAATATGATTCCACCTGGGATATCCCAGGTGGAGTCACCCCAGACCAGGTCAGTGCTTCTGCTTGATTTGTCTATGAGGTTGAAGTTTTAAGTTGCCAAGGGGAGAGAATGAGTTTTAGATAGGGTGGGAGCAGTATAGAGCCATTTCTCACAGGAATGCCTGTACTACATTTAGGTGGAGAAGACTATTGAAGAGTTGGTAGTGACAGGCCAAAAACCAGGTGCAGTTTTCATCACTTCCCCAACTTACCATGGCATATGCAGCAACTTGACTGCAATTTCCAGGGTCTGCCATTCCTTCGGGGTTCCTCTTATCGTCGACGAGGCTCATGGAGCACACTTAGGTTTCCACCCTGAAATGCCGAGTTCGGCTCTTCAGCAGGGTGCGGATCTGGCTGTGCAGTCTACCCACAAGGTTTTATGCTCTCTAACACAATCATCAATGTTACATGTGTCTGGAGACCTGGTTGACAGAGACCGAGTTAGCCAATGCCTCCAAACGCTAGAAAGCTCAAGTCCCAGTTACTTGCTCCTAGCATCTTTAGATGCTGCCACAGCACAAATTGGTGAAAACCCTCTGACCGTCTTTAACAGTGCATTGTTTCTGGCCGGTGAAGCCAAGAGGTTGATAAAACGGATTCCAGGGATCACAATGCTTGACTCATCAAGCTTTGTGAATTTTCGGGACATCGATCCTTTGCGCCTTACTGTTGGTTTCTGGCAGCTTGGATTATCCGGCTTTGAGGCAGATGATTACTTGGACAGGAATCACGGGATTGTCGCTGAACTTGTAGGGACTTCATCCTTAACATTGGCCATCAACCTAGGCACTCAAATGGTGGATGTACAGAGGTTAGTTTCAGGATTGGAGGCATTATCGGCTGCACATTCTTCGCGGATTCTTGCTAAACCAGAGAGGGCTGCTTGTGGCATTTTTACAGAAGTGAATATGAGCATGAACCCAAGAGATGCATTTTTCGCAAATAAGCAAAGAGTGGGCATTGGAGAAAGCCTTGGCAAGGTCTGTGGAGAGCTTATATGTCCATATCCACCAGGGATCCCGGTTTTGATACCCGGCGAAACCATTTCCAAGACAGCTTTGGATTACCTGCTTGTTGTCAAAAGAAATGGAGCCGTCATCACTGGGGCTTCAGATCCCTCACTCTCCTCAATTGTTATATGTGATCTGTAACCAACCGCCATGCTTGCTAAGGGCAAAATAGTGTCATCTCTTTTAACAGCAACTGAACATATAGAAATGCTATGAAGTTGCAGGCTTGTAGAGTAAGACAGTTTTGAGAGAGGACGATAAAGATGCGAAAGAGAATACAAACTATATTTCTACAACACTACACAGCACAATCGATGCTTCACAGGCTACTCCCCGTTCCTCCGGGGTTCCGATATGTTCTTTACTTCCGGTAAGCAAAAGATAAAGCCTGTGACCAAAAAATATTGCAACCAAGGAATGCAATAATTTTCAAGGAGAAGAGATTTCAAAGACTCAAACCATCATTTATAGATTGACTCGGCTCTCCTACTGTCGGTTGACATTGGTTGTTATAAACTGAACTTTCATCACAGTACATGTCTTTCCAGGAAGTTCTTGGCTTCTTTGCCTGTTGACCGCCACAATCAGAAGCAGGTTCCTGAGGCAACAATTGTGGAGGCAACAATTGTGGAGGCAAGAGCGGCGGCATGCCAAGCTGCAGATCTACATAGTTCTCTGGAGGAACCATTGACAGAGGAGTCGCTGCAACAAAACACAAAATATTAGATTGAGTAATTTCTTTCCAGTAAGTGAGCTAATTTTTTACTGCAAGGATGTTTCACTTTTATGTATGGACAAGCAGATTCATATGCAACTTTTTAGTTCTTCTACCCTTCTATTAGCAGCAACAAGACTCAAGAGCTAATATAACAGCAATATAAGTTCCATGTATACCTTCCGCTGGTTGTAGAAGTCTGGGATTATCAGTTTGAGGTGGTAAACGAGGTCGCTTCCTGACATAGTTTTCTTGCAATGGTTTTGGAGTTTGGAATGAAAATTGCGACATGGATAAACCTTCTGCAAATTCCGGGTGATCAGCCAAGTACCTGCAGGATTAAGGGTTTCAGGAAAGAAACGCAACTATAAATACATCTCTGAAGATTCTCCTTCCGGTAACACAAAACATAATGACTGTTAATAACATTCTCGATGTTGGAAACAAAGTAAAGTCAACTTACTTATGAACCTCAACGATAGAGCGGAGTTTCTTTCCAGAGGGTGCCATATAGTACCTGTAAGATATTTTCCAAAAACATAGTTCAGTATACGACAAAGTGTAAGCATTCTTAATGTGAATCTGCAATCACATGCAAGTGCATCTCCAATACAAGCAAAGGCTAATCAATCTAAAGGTTCCCATATCATCTCTCAAAAGGGAACTACCATGTCTAAGTTTCAATTCAATTGATGATTCAAAGAGTCTGTTCCGTAAGTAAGATGCTCAAACACGAAGAGAAACAAAGACTATAAATAAGAAAATGACGTACACATCAGCAAACTTGGTACTGCCTTCACCCCTGATATGTAGTAAGCGTTGCCATCCTGGAGGTGGCTGGGCAATATTTGGTTTGTCGATTGCCCAGAGTCTGCCGGTATCTTGAGAAATGTCCTCAGGGTCATCACATGACACATTAGGTCTCCATTCTTGAACTGATTCACAATAAAATGGTCTTTCCAGTATATGTTCACGTATTTCTTCGTACTTCTGCTTTGTTGGGATGAGCCTCCACTTGAAACACTTGGCACATTGAACTGTGAAAGCACCTACAGATGGCAAAACTTTAGGCATAACTCGAGGGGTATATCTAGTAAGCATTGGGGCTCTGCTCTGGATTGGTTCGGGATTAGTGTCAAGCTCGCTATTGTTACTGCTAGCAACAGGATCATAAAGCACTAGCTGCTTGTTTGCACTATTCTCCTTAGCTTGGCTATCCACATCTTCAAGAGGCTCATCGGAGTCATCCTCCTCTGAGGAAGAAGAAATGTCAATGATCCTTTGAATGGCTTGCTGGACATAATCTTTGAAGCTTGGAGTAGTGTCTTCATCTGCCTCGGTTTTCACAATAGGGGAAGCTTCTGTACGCTGCTCCATCTCAATAGATGACCTGAATGCTTTCAACCAAGCCAAGCATGCAGCAAAGCTTCAGAAACTTTACCAAACCAGTTCACAGACAACATAATTTGTTTAAAGGCAACATTGGCTCATAAATCATGTCTATTAAGGTTTTTAAATAAGACAATATCTCCACTGGCCAAATCTACCAGACTAAGCAGATTCTGTACTGCTCAAGTTGATGTTGCAGAATCTGTATGAAACATTATTTAACGGACTGTTAATGGAGGCTTATGTCTCTAGCAAAAACAAAATGCAGATTGTCTTCTACTTCAAAGTGACATGGATATTGTGCATTCCATGCTCCCCAAGACTAGCTCCACAATTCTTCTATATGATTTAAGTGGAATTTATGGGATATCAAAGAAGGCTCAGATGCAAAAGAATCCGAACCCATCCCAACATGAACAAGGAAAAGGGATACAATACCAGAAAATCGAAGTAAAACAGATCTGAAGAGAGCACAGCTAACCTCACAGTACAAGGAAATGTGTTTCAACCATTCAAGGACGAGCCTTTGAGGATCTCAGCGTCTGATACGCAGTTAAAGATCAAGAGACAACGTACCAAATAAGCCTGCATAAGCGAAACAAATCAAACATCATCAAACACTAGAAGTTCCACAATAGGATCAAATGCACAGCACAATGCCCAAATCAAACAAAAGCAATCTCATCGCCGCCCGCGATGATGTTGGTGCAAATCAACATACTCTGGTCTTTGTATGGGATTTTGGCCTCTAAGCAACATACACAACGAAAACTTCCACCATATTATGATTGAAGAAATTGGCATGCACATACAACCCCAGAAGGAAAGGGGGGAAACACTTTGTCACCTTTCAGATGCCCTCACACCAAGCACAGATCGGACGTTAAGAGTGCCTGGTTTTATCTTCCTTTACAACAGGAAAATCTCGAGATGTATGGAATTTCAAATGCGCATTGTAAATTTGCTTTTTTTTCTTACTCTTTCCCCTCTCCTTCTCCGAGGAACCAAACAGATAACTTAGAAATTGATACTATTCGTCGCGATCTCGAGGAGCACAACCCTACCATAGCGAGAGATTCGTGAAGGAGGAAAAAACAGAGCGAGGGAGAAAGAGAGGATTTACAGGGAGGGAAGGAAGGTGATGCAATGAAATCCCGATAGGTGAGGGGTGCGCCCAATGTGCGGGAGGGCGAATCTTCGATGTTTAGGGCGAGTAGGGGGGGAGCGTTATCGCGTCGGAGTCGGAGGTCGGCGACGGAGTTTCAGCAGGCGGCCATTGTTATGGGGTTTAATTGGCGCTTATGGCTTCGGTATTTTGGTTTTCTGTTTCTCGGTTGGCTCGCTGCGTTCAGCTTTCCTGCGTCTCTCTATCAATCTATCTCTCTCCTCCCGCCCCCTCCTCGTAAACCGAGAGACAAGAAGCGAATGGAAACCGGGAACTGCGGAGATAGAGAGAGAGAAAACCACTTGGGGTTGCGGGCCGAATTGGACCAAGTATCTAGGCTCCGGACTCCGGTGGTGGGAATTCGGTTCTGATATTCTGATCAAACCGTAAAACTGGTCAATTTAAATCGTCCCGGTTGCAACAGGATGTATACAATTCACTCAACTCTTAAACTAGCATTAAGACATATAATTTGGAAATTGGAACTTAAATTATTGTAGATCATGTATTTCTTGTTCATCATATCACAAGTGACGTTCAAATACTATTTAGACATGAATCGCGTGCTTTAAATGATGATTATGAGGTTGCGCTCGTTCGTATATGTCCTAGTAGTTATCCGCTTCCCGTAGGCTACCCACTTCGTACGGCCATAACTTTGCGCTCGGTTATCCGATTGACGCAATTCTTTTCCCCATCTCGCTTAACTTTTCGAGATCTTTGCAGAATAATACCTTCTCCGGCCTCCCCTTGTGTGCACGCCGTTCCAGCTAGTGATGGCAATGGGGCGGGTACCTCAATTCCCATGCCCCGCCCCATGCTACTACGGGTCGGGTCGGGGCGGGTAAAACCCGCGCGGGTACGGGACGGGTCGGGTCGACTCACTCTTACATGTTGGTCAAAAAAAATACAAGTAAATTTTACTTTTTACAATAAAACGTAGGGAAAAACACTTTAAGAATGAAAAATATTGATAATAGAATGGATAATTGAGTCTAACAAGTTGAAAGATCGACTCTAACTAGTTGAAGAAAAGTCAAAATATGAGAAATATGTATAAATATTGTAAGAAATTGAGATAAAATGAGACTAGAACAGGGCGGGGGCGGGGCAGGGCGGGTCGGAAGTAGATACCCATACCCCGCCCCACGCTACTGCGGGTCGGGTAATACCCACCCCATCGCGGGTCAGGTCGGGTAATACCCGCGGGGCGGGTTGAAATTGCCATCACTAGTTCCAACGGGCAAAAAATCACGAAACAATCAAATAAAAAAGGGGCGCAACACGAGGACTTCCCAAAAGGTCACCCATCTTAGTACTACTCTCGCCCAAGCACGTTTAACTTCGGAGTTCATTCAATGCGGAAAAAAAAGTGAGTGCACCAAAAACAAAACCATATATACATTATACATCCCTAATTATGAAAAAAAAATCCATCAAATATACATGTATTACCATGGATCAAAGATATTTAGTTAGAAAAAAAAACAATTTCACAAATACGGGATGGACCTGAACAGTAATCAGTAAGTTAGGCCCAGGAGCAAAATAAGCTTCGACAGAAAGAAAAAGAAGAAAAAAAAGCTTTCGGCTCACAAAGGTCGGGTTTCGGCACCAAGTGACAATATAGCTAGCCATCGAGTAGTGATGGCAATGGGACGGGGCGGGGCGGGTACCTCAATTCCCATGCCCCGTCTCACGCTACTACGAGTCGGAGCGGGTAAAACTCGCGCGGGTACAGGATGGGGCGGGTCGACCCACTCTTACATGTTGTTCAAAAAAATACAAGTAAATTTTACTTTTTACAATAAAACGTAGGGAAAAACACTTTAAGAATGAAAAATATTGATAATAGAATGGATAATTGAGCCTAACAAGTTGAAAGATCGACTCTAACTAGTTGAAGAAAAGTCAAGATAGGAGAAATATGTATAGATATTGTAAGAAATTGAGATAAAATGAGTCTAGAACGGGGCGGGGCGGGGCAGGGCGGGTCTGAAGTAGATACCCATGCCCCGCCCCACGCTCTTGCGGGTCGGGTAATACCCGCCCCATCGCGGGTCAGGTCGGGTAATACCCGCGGGGCGGGTTGAAATTGCCATCACTACCATCGAGGCCCAAGCAGTCAAACCTCTCGGGCAACTTGCGTCTTATGAAGAAGACAAGCCAATGTTAACCTTTTGCTTATATAATTTCTCAATTGTGACCTAAAATTAGTTTATCCTGGGTGACGGTTATACATTAGGCAAATCGCACACCAACAAAGTACAAAAAAATTATAATTTATAAATAAGTAACTGATTTTAATTGACAAGACACATTTTAGAGTGAAATAAAAAAAAAATATAAAAAAATTAAAGTTAAAAATGTTCACATTGAAACAATACAAAGATGAATGGCATATCGGGAAATCCCTTTAATATGCACACCTTACCAACTACTGGCGAAACTTTTATTTTGCAAAACAAATGGAAGGGTCCATGTCAAATCGGCAACAAAACACTCAACTCTTTTGTTTAAGGCTAATTAGCAGTTAGGCCTGGACTTTGACCGTGAGGGCGTTGAAAAAGCTCCAAAAACCTCATCATTTGAAGCGTGCACGAAACAATTAGCAACTGGTTTTTAATCTCATACTCTCCACCAGTAGGCACCAAGTCAAACATTCGGCAACCGCGCGGGCGAAGGAGATCCTATTGTACCCAAAAATTGTACTTTCCCACCGCATTGTAGAACTTACAATCAAAAATTTATAGAAAGTTTGAAACACTAGTTCAATCAACACGTTCATAGAAATAATTAAACAGCAAACATTAAAATTCATTGAATTCTTCATCATGAAACTCTCTCACTTTTGCGCTCCTGTGAAGTTCAAGATACTCATTTGTTACTATGGTATTTGTAACAACTATGAATGGTGCACCATCTCATTCCTCATCTCTGAACACATACGAATGATCATCTCATCCCTTAAATAAGAAGCCTTGTGCTTCAATTGCATTTGTACATGGAAGAATATCAATATTCTTCTTCTCCGTTAATCGTTATCCTCTTCTTCTTGGCCGTCAACCTTGGGTTGAACTGTATGTAGACTAGTTGATTGAGAGTTTGAGACGCTATGTTGTAAGCCCATCCTTATCTTTGGTTGAAGCTAGAGATAGATTGGAGACGGCGACATGGTTTTGGAGTTTGGTTGCTTAATAATCGACGACTTCAAATAGTAGGGAGTCAGATAGTCGAGCCGACCAAAGTTAGAGATGATAAGCACTACAGTCGTTAATGATGAATTTCGAGGCAGGAGAAGCAGTTGCAATTTGGAGAGCTCCACCTAATTTTTTTTTATTCCAATCGAGGAAGTAGGCATGTGTAGGACGGGTCGTTGGGCTGAACGGTTCGACATTGGGGATGGCGGCATTGTGGGCAATTATATATATATATATTATCTTTAGTCGCCAAACCCCTAAGTCTGTCTAACTCCGATTAGTCACGCCTCAGCTGATTAATCGCTCCTAACTAATGGTCTCTCTAGGCCTAGGCGATGCATTTTGTCATTGCCTAGCTTCTAAGCATACTTAGAATTGCGCATTTTTTGAACCATGTGAAATATATCACACTCATAAGGAGTTGGTCCACCCACTCCACCGTTGATTTTCAACGCGGGTCCCATGTTCAAATCAGTATTCATGAAACCGTATCGTACCGACGGTCTGCCCGAAAATACTCCATATCAGCACTTAAAGATGGTTTGATAGCAGGCATGAAACGGTTCAACCATAATTTCAGCACTTAATATCTTACCTCTAACTTTTCCGCTACAACATACAGTACGATTTTATAATATTTGGTTCAAATCCGCGATTGAACTTCCCCTTTTTACATCACCCAATAACATGTCAAACAAAATAAAATACATCACACTCGATTACATACAAATCATATAACATGCAATTGAAACAAATAACTTGTATTTTCAAATACATCCAACCAAACTCCTCAACGTACAAATATAAATTGTTTCATCCATAACTTACATATAAAAATGGTTTTTGTGTTCCGCTTTCTTCCAATTTTGCGACGAGGATATGTGTAAGTAAACTGTTTTTTCCTCCCCTTTTCCCTGTCGACGTATATGGACGATGGTCCAAAGTCCAAACGTGTCCACATTGGTCGTCATCCTCTCGCATTTCAATAAAAAAAGAATGTCACTCTCCCGCCTTTCCCCCAACAATATTAAGGCGCGTATACTTTATCAAAGAGCGGAAAGTAAGTTTCACTATAATAGTCTTGATCAATATTGTATCAATCATCATGTTAAATCAATGATTATGAAAGTGTATCAAAAGTTATACTGAAAAAGTTAATAAAAAGGTATAATTCTAAGATCTTACAGTTTCAATCATTTTGAACTGCAAAAATCGTCTATAATTTCTGATTCGATATTCGTTATTTCCGATCTGACCGGCCAATACGATAGGATCTCTAAGACATTGGTTAAAATACACATATTTACACCAAATGACATGAGCACGGTAATCCTATTGTCGGTTGTAACTTGTAACGATTGGCATAGAGTATAATCTCCTTTTCCTTAACCTTTTAGTATGTATTAGGGCTGTCAGATTGGCTCGTTGTGGCTAACCAAATCGCTAATACGAAAACTAAAAAAATTCAAAACTGTTAGTTCCTCCAGAATCGAATCGTTTAAGTAGTGGCAGAGCCGAAATTTGAAATTATGTGTGTCTAGTGTCCTTCTTTTTAAGAATATAAATTATTTCAATTAGGAATTTGATTTATAGGGCAACAAAATTAATTTATGACAATCAAATGACAATAAATGGACTATAGTGCAGTGAAAAAAATATCACTACGTTACCTTAAACTGGTGAGTTCAATTCCTTTCATATGCATACATAGGAATTCATTATTTTTGTAAACAAAATTTAAATGTGTCTTGTGACAGAGCCCAACCCCTTTGGTTGTGTCCCTACGTTTATGTGGGTTGTTCATCCTTTTGTTTCTGAAAATCGATTACATTGGTGAGTTACATACTTAAATCCCTTCCATATGCATATATATAAGAATTTGTTTTCTTAGCAAAATTTACATGTGCCCCGTGACAGAGTCCAAACTCCAAACCCTCTGACTCTGTCATTGTGTTTAAGAGGGTTGTCCAATTTTTTTTCCTGAAAACCGAGCAGACCCTTAATGGCTTAGTTTCGGTCCGGATAATCAGGGGGAAAACACCATACGATAGCAAACAATATGTATGTATGTTATCGAGTTTTTAATTTTCACCGAAACCAGTAAGGAAAATCTATAAGAGAGTGTAAACTATTCCGTTTAAGTTAAAACCAAAACCCCGAAACCGAATTTGCAGCCCTAATTATGTACACATAATTCGTAGGTGTGGTCAATTCATGCCTATGATTATGATCTCCAACTATATACTTTCCACCTTCGTGGTCCAAAAGAGGGGTTTAGTATTTTCAGATGAACTATAGACCGAAAGACACCATTGGACAACATCATACATACATCGGATCATAAATTATACACACAAGTTGGGTGGTGGGATCTCTTTCTTCTCCTTTAAAATGGATTGGTTGTGGGGATTGTTAACATTACATTGCATTGGGAATGAACATGTTGGAGTGTTGATTGAAATGCGTATGTATATATAACTAACCCCATTGGAGCATTTATTGACACTTTTGGCTTATTACCCTCTCTTTCTCCTAGTGGCCAAGACTACTCGACGCAACCCAACATGGGATTTGGCGGTGGAAGACGCAAATCCAAATAGTCAGATACAGACACAGACTAATTGAATTTTGCTGATATTTTTGCCCTCTGCGACGGTGGAGACAGTACTGGTACAAAGTGGCGAAACTAGAAATTTGAACGAGGGTGCTAAAAACTATGGTCATTGGTGGGTGGGGGTGGGGAGAGCTAATGGCTTACCAATAGAGGTGGCAATTAGGATCCAAATCCATGAATCCAATCCAATTCATCCACCAAATTATCCATCTAATCAAATCCATTTAAATCCAATCCATTTGATCAAAATCCAATTGGATTGGTGGATTCATGGATCAATCCATATATCCAAATGGCAAATTACGATTTGGTACCTATATTTTGTATATTTTACATTTTGGTAACTAAATTTATATTTTATACGAAAAATATCATTGGAAAATTATATTTTGGTACCTAAAATTTTTCATTATGACATTTTAGTACCAAAACTTTTCATATTTTACATTTTGGTCCAAGCCTTTGATGTCATTTGGATTCATGGATCAATCCACCAATCCATTTGATCCAATCCATGAATCCACCAATCCATTGGATCCATGGATCCCCCAATCCAATCCACGAATCCACGAATCCGATCCAATTGCCACCTCTACTTACCCATTAGTCTATTTTTAGAATTTGTTACACATTGGTCATAAGATGGCAAGCTCAATATCAGTTCATATTTCTTCCTCAACTTGGCTTAAAGGGGTTGACAACAAGTTGGTTGTAATGATGGATAGTGGTGGAGATAGAAATCTGATTGAGTAGTTAAGAAGTTAAATTTGAGGGAATGGAATCATGTGATGTTTTGGGGAGGATGGATTAGAATCTTATAAACTAGTATAATATTCAAGTTTGTTTCGAAAACATATGTGTACTTTTACCTACACTTTAGAATTGATGTGGGTTAGTTTCCTTAATTCAATGTGGCTCTGACATCGATGATGGTGGTTGGACGCGGTGTTGATTTTGTCACCTGCGAGGCATCTCGATGGCTTGGTGTGTGTTTAAAAAGTCCGGTATCATAGCATATGATAGTTTGGAGCTCCTGATGATGGTCACTCAGTACTTCCTGGATGTCTTTAGTAATATTCGCTAACCGCATCACGATGATGACCTCCTACGTCATGCTTGAGGCGCTTTCATGGTCTTCACGGTCATGGCACCTTGGCAAGACGTCTTAAATCTTAATGGCTTAGATGTCATGCTTGACGCCTAGATGTACTCGTAAGTTTGATGTGATGATGGGTATTTGCTGGTCCTTATTGTTGGGTGCGCTGGTTAATACGTAGGAATGTTAATACCTAGGTGCATATGTTGATAATTAGCTGCCTAGAAAACTTCTTTAACAGTGTACATCTTGTGGATGAATTTGTTATGACCATCGAGAACAGAGAAATAACTAATGTTTTATGAACATTTTTCTTTTTTTGTTTGGTTTTGTTAAACGAGTGCATTGGTGTTGAAGGAAATGACACAATCACACAAAATAATAATGCATCATCATTGTTGGTTACGATGATTATGAAATAGTTGTCAAAGCCATTAGTCTAACCATCGTATATTAAGCCGATGGATTAAAAAACTAGTAAAGAGATCAAGGGCCATGTGCATCAAATAATGGTGGTGGAGGAGTGACGATTGCTATGGTAAATTCCATCTAATATGGGATTAGTTTGAAGAAAACAAAAGTACAATATTACTTTAATGTTTTCGTTTTATTGTCCATCGTTCTTTAGCTAATTAGCATCGTAAGTGGGGTTGGTACTTGGTAGGTCCCTTCATATAATAACCAAGGTTAAGGAGCTCTGGTTTATATCCACTACTTTCTCTTTCTTCCTTCTGTGTATTACTAGTTGTCCAAAATTGAAACCCAAAATTAAGGAAAAGCAAGAAAAATGTCGACCATAAACTTGCATTAGAGTGAACCAGGTGAATACTCTTTACTTTAACTATAGAAATGCTATTACGAGAAGTGGGACCGTGTTGAGATTCTGAAAGTTCGTATGAATTGTGCTAGAAATTACTGTCTGCATGACCATCGTCCATCGTTCACAATTTGTTCTTCAAATGAACATTCTAATGTTGATGTTGTTAACTTTCAGATCTTATCCCATATGAAAAAGAGTCAGTAACACCCCGAGTTGTGTCCTCAGCTTGCTTAAGTATCTATCAGTAAGACAAACCTCTGTAGAGTGGATCAGATGGAATTATATTTTGACGGGAGACACGTTACTATGGAGAGTATGTTCTCTCGAGATTCCGAGTTGGGGCTTCCGAGCTAAACTAATAATACTGAGCACATCCATCATTAATTGTTAAGATGAAAATTTTGTCTTAGGATGTGCTAGATGTCATCATATGCATTGACCGACCACCAAATAAAACTTCTTGAATTTAAATAAAACCAACATTCTAAACGTGTTCACTTACTTTCCAATCCTAGCCAACAAGAGAGAAGAGTAGTAAGAGGTAACACCATTGTGTCCTCTACTAGCTTTTTCCATCGATGAATGCGGATAATAATCTTACCATGATCTCTTATCATGAACTGAGAAAGGGATCATGGGATACACTGTCAACAAGCAGAAACACAGAGGAAAAGACATCACCACCAGGAAAGAACAGAGAAGATAAATTGGGAAAAGGGAAGACGGAACAATGGGGGAGGCAAGGCAGGCGTTATCAGTCAGTTTCAGTAATGGCATTTTCAATGGAAGCCAGAGACAAGTATATTTATAATTAACAGACGAATAAATAAATAGAACAATGAACAGATACATACTCGGCACTCCAGTTGATTACTGTTCATCTTTATTACATCAACTCAGCCCCTAAAATAATTGAAAAAAGATATGCAAAGAAAATCGGAATTTAGCATAGAAAATGACAGTCAAGCACGGAGAGCAGAGAGAGAAGGAAGAAGAAGCATTAGCGAAGGAAGAGATAGGGAGAGAGATAGAGAGGAAGAAGAGGAAAACAGGGGAGGGAAAGTTTTTTCTCTTTTGTCTGGGTAATGTAGGGGAACATAGGGGCAAGCGAAAAATTCATACCCTTGTTTGGTCTCTGAGAAACTCAACATCCTCCACTTATCCAGAAAAAAATCCCCCACCTTCCCTTCTTCTGTAATTTTTTTCCTCTTTGTGGGAATTTCAGGTTTTCTTTTCTACCCCCTGTTTTTTTGCTGTTTTTTTCCCTATACCTTGCATCTATCTGAGTCTCTCTCCGGCAACTTTTTCGCCGGCCAACTGGCCGGAACTTCAACCGATCTGTGTTTCTACCTATTGGGTATGGAGGAAATGGTTTGAAGTTTCCTGGGTCAGGTGGGTTTGAAGTAAAGTTGCAGACTTTAATGAAGAGTAGCTTTTGAATCAGCTAAAGAAAAGGGAGCTATGGGGAGGTGAATATACTCCGGATCAGCTTCATTTTACTCCGCGAATCAGTCCCGGAAAGAAGGGGGTAAAGAAGAAAAAAGTAGAAGGCAATGAAAACGCCGGTGAACGGCGCCGGAGCCGCCGTTCCCTCCTCCGCCGCCGCCACTACCACAGCTAATCCAGCTGAAACAGGTGATTTTTTGTAATAAAACGCTCTGACTTGGAGCTCAGCCGCAACATAGGAGATTTCTATGTGTCCATATGTAGCTAAATTTAATGGTGGGATAACAAATGGTCGATTTTTGTTCTGCATAATTTGGATCAACAACGTAACTAACGAAGGTTTTACCAGAAGGGGAATTTGTCTCCTATCTCCATCACCAGCTAGTGCTGTGACTTGTGAGCCGGCTGTTTTGTCGCTTTTGCTCCATTTTCCCTTCCTTTCTGTTGTAAGATTTCCTTGGGAGCCAAACAAAAAGGGGAGATGGTAGAGAAAGGAAAACTTCTCTTTCCAATTCATATAGGGAAATGAAAAAGAAGATTGGGGATCTTGGAGGGAGTGGGTGGTTGAGATTCAGTGTGAGCCATTCTGCTGCTGCTGCTGATAATATTGATGATGGCGATGATGCAGGGTCAGCAGAGAAGAAGACCATAAACGTGGAGCTATGGCAAGCTTGTGCTGGACCTCTGGTGAACTTGCCAGCCGCAGGCACCCATGTCGTTTACTTCCCTCAAGGCCACAGCGAACAGGTGAATTTTTTTTCCAAATTACTCCATTGAGCCTCTAATTTGGTGGGTTCTAGCAGTTAATCCCTCATTAATAGTTGGGGAAGGTTGATCATAATTGAAAACTTCCCCTTTTGTTCTTGCCCTCCCGGAATTTTTAGGCAATCAAATCAAATCTAGTTCCAGATTCCTTGGGGGAAATTTTTTCAGTTTCTACTTGCCTCCCAAGTCAACGGTTGTTTGTCCCTGGTAGTATTTGGTTTGAAGAAGTTGTAGATAGACAGCCCAATAAAAAGGTGTTGTTTGGAATATGAAGTTATTGACAGGTTGATGATTTAGACATGGTAAAACTTGTCTGCAAGCCATGTTGTTTAATATAGCTTAAGGTTTGATTTATGCTTAAGATAATTTGGGTATTTAGCGATTTGCTTGGTCCCGTTTAGCAATTTCAGCATTTTAAAGGTTCCTCTATGACTTCATTTGTAAACTTGCTGCACCTTTTGTCAGCTGTGAATTGACTTTTATGATTGCTTGGTGTTGCAAGTTTTCAGTTTTTCCTTATGTATGTCATTCTATTTTTTCGGCTTTGAGGTAAATTGTGTCCTCACGTGATACCGATACCATGGGCTTCAGGTTGCGGCATCTATGAAGAAGGATGTGGATGGTCAAATTCCAAACTACCCCAATCTCCCTTCCAAGCTGCTATGTCTCCTTCACAATGTTACATTGCATGTAAAGAGCGTCCTAATTCCTATGCGTTTTAACTTGTAGCTCCTAATTCCATTCGTGAGTTTATTTGGATCTATGGTGTTAAGACTGTTACTTCTTCATTTGCTTTCATAGGCGGACCCGGAAACAGATGAAGTTTATGCCCAGATGACCCTCCAACCTGTTCCTTCTGTAAGGACTTTATTTTTACAAATTGATAGAATGTGATTTCCACTTTTAGATGTTAAATCAGATCACGGAGAGTCGCTAAGATTACAGTGGCAATAGTTTATACCTCTTTCATGATTAATTAATTTTCTTATCTGCTAAGCAGCTAACTTCAACTAAATATATCAGCAATTTGTGTGCAGTATGACAAGGAAGCATTACTGAGATCAGACATTGCACTTAGGTCAAACAAGCCACAACCAGAGTTCTTCTGTAAAACATTAACAGCAAGTGATACTAGCACTCATGGAGGCTTCTCTGTGCCTCGTCGAGCGGCTGAGAAGATTTTCCCACCGCTTGTATGCATCTCTCACCCTTAAAAGTGAAAATACACATGCTTAGTCAATGGCAAAAACTCATGTTCCCACTACTCTTCTTAGGATTTCTCCATGCAACCACCTGCTCAAGAAATTGTGGCCAGGGATCTACATGATAATGTTTGGACTTTCAGACATATCTACCGTGGTACATTTTTGCCTGTTTCCTTAGACATCTCTACTGAATTTTGATTTACTGCTTATCCATACTATTCTTTCCCTAAACTCAGGACAACCAAAGCGTCACTTGCTTACGACAGGCTGGAGCCTCTTTGTAAGTGGAAAGAGGCTTCTGGCTGGTGACTCAGTCTTGTTTATTAGGTAAATGCTAAGAAATAACTGAAGCTTTTTGCGCATATTTCTTTTTCACATCATATGATACTTATTGCATACGACATGCATCTGAATACAACATTTGTAGTGAACCACCCACATTGACTAACATTGTCAACATGTCTGAACAGAGATGAAAAGCAGCAGCTTCTCTTGGGCATCAGACGGGCTAACCGGCAACCTACCAATCTGTCCTCATCAGTTTTATCAAGTGACAGCATGCACATTGGCATCCTTGCTGCTGCAGCACATGCAGCGGCTAACAATAGTCCCTTTACTGTGTTCTACAACCCAAGGTCAGTGATTGAGAAAAAAATTATTTTTGAAATTATGCAAATCAGGAAGTTGTTCTTTATGACATGTTATTTACACTTGCTATCGGTTTATATGCAGGGCTAGCCCATCAGAATTTGTTATTCCATTAGCCAAATACTACAAGGCTGTCTATGGCAACCAAGTGTCACTTGGCATGCGCTTTCGGATGATGTTTGAAACTGAGGAATCTGGAACAAGAAGGTAATCTCATTTTCCACTTCTGAATGATTACTTGTTTAGTTATTTGGGACTATTACCCCATTTTACAAGTTTGAGAATTGTGCTTTTGTATGGTTTTGGAGATTGGAAGAAAATGGGAGGCTTTTTGATGCTTTCCATTTTGAGTTATAAAATTCATGCAAAATTCTATATATGGTTTGCAGGTACATGGGTACCATTACCGGGATTAGTGATCTTGATCCTGTAAGATGGAAGAACTCACAGTGGCGTAACTTGCAGGTTGTGACTTTGCCATTTGGGTTATCCAAGAGCTAGCCAGTTAGGTATCCACCAGTTGAGATTAAAAAGTAAAACCATTTTTTATCTTGTCGTGTTGACAGGTTGGATGGGATGAGTCAACTGCAGGGGAGAGGCGCAATCGTTTTTCGGTTTGGGAGATTGAACCTGTCACTGCTCCATTTTTCATATGCCCCCCTCCTTATTTTAGATCCAAGCGTCCAAGACAACCGGGAATGCCAGGTATAATCACCTAACCAGCACTGTATTTCCATCACATATTTCCTGCATTCTCTGACCATACGTGGGTTCTGATTATCTGTCACCTAGGTGTCTAGTTTACTTACCTTCTTGAGTGGCATTTCTTTGTTGGATCATTGATACATTCCTGGACGGAGTTGTTCTAAAGATCAGCATTCTTGGAAATTGAATTAATAATATATTTGGCCAGCTTTAGTGTCAAGATTCCTTCATTTTGTCTGGTCTGTGGCCAAAGTTTGACCTTTTATGATCCCCAGCATCACCCCATGTGGTTTGTTACAAATGTGCTGAAGTGACATTATAAAATCCTGAACATAGTGACAAGTCTTTACTCCATGAGCAAGGCACTCTTTTAAGCTTGACAAGCACTTCACCTTTCCAAAACTATAGCAATGATGCAAAATTTCTGAAAGATATAATTTCAATTTGCAGATGACGACTCTTCTGATTTAGATGGCATATTCAAGAGGAGCATGCCGTGGCTTGGCGATGATATCTTGAACGATCCCCAGAGTCTCCCTGGCCTAAGCTTAGTTCAATGGATGAACATGCAACAAAACCCATCACTAGCTAATTCTATGCAGCAAAATTACATGCAGTCCTTGCCAGGTTCTGTTCTTCCAAACCTTGGTGCAGCTGACATTTCTCGACAGTTAGGTTCGTCAGCAGCCTCTCAAATTCTTCAGCCAAACAACTTCCAGTTGACTTCTCCAAGGCTACCTCAGCAGGGTCAACAGCTTGACCATCAGCTCACTAAAATGCCACCCTCAAGCATCAACCCATTGGCCTCAGTTATGCAACCACAACAGCAGCAGGTTGCTGATGGGACTCAACAACCTAGGGCAGTTTTGAGTCAAGCTCAGTCCCAGGTTCTCCAACCTCAGTCCCAGGTTCTCCAACCTCAGTCTATGGTCCAGGCCAATGGTATTTTACAGCAGCAGCAGCCTATTCAAACTCATCATCAGCTAGTTAGAAATTCCTCTCCTAGTTTTCAGCAGCAAACTCAAATGCAACATGTTTTTGGTCAAAACCAACAGCAAGGCCTCTTCATGCCAAACCAGTTGTCTAACCAAGTTAACCAGCATTTCCAAGTATCTGAAAATCAGATCCAGCTTCAGCTACTGCAAAAGCTTCAGCAGCAGCAGCAGCAGTCACTCTTAGCTCAGCAGCAGCAGCAGCAGCCATCACCGTTGGCTCCCCAGACTCAGTTGCAAGACCCACAAAGACAATTATCGGATGTATCCCAAAGCTTCTCGAGGTCTATGAGCTCCAACCAAATGTTGGAAATGCCTCAAGCTTTGACCTCTTCACTCCCACAGCCTAGTACTGCTCAACAACAGATGGCTAAAAGCAACAGCCAAGTGAATGCTCGATTTTCCCATCTGCCACATCAGCAGAAACTTCAGCACCAACAACCTGAAATCCCTGGGCGTATATTGGGAGTATCTCCTAGCTCAACAATAAATCAGCTCTCTACAGTTGGTGGTGGCAACAATATGTTGACAGCTGGAGTAGTAGGTCAATCTGCTATCACTGATGATGTGCCATCTTGCTCTACTTCTCCTTCTACGAACAACTGCCCGAATCTGGTTCAGCCAATGATGAACGGTTATCGAAGCACTACATTGGCTGAGGACATCTCTCCAACTGCTGGCACACAACTTTTGAGTCCTAGTCCATTATTGGACACAATGGCTAGTGCTAACCACCTTATGATGAAAGAAATGCAGCAGCAGAGGTCTGATGTTAAGCCATCCCTTAACATCTCCGCCAAGAATCAAAACCAGGGATTTTTCGCCCCTCACTCGTATGTGAATGGCACCACAACTACCCAGGCTGATTATTTAGACACTTCATCTTCAACCTCAGTCTGCCTGTCTCAGAACGACGTGCAGCAGTTGCAGCAGAATAACAACACAACGTCGTATAATTCACAGCCGATGCAGATGAGAGGAGAAGCAAGCTACAATGGAGCAGAACTTCCCCTGGCTGATCACAGGAATAGTAACGTCCCATATGGGATCGGCATTGATGATAGGCAAGGCCAGCTGGGCGGCATGCACGTGAGTTCTGATAATTTGTTATCGAAGTCCATGGTAGGACTGGAGAAAGATTTCTCAAACAATCTCCCTGCTTCTGGGGGTGTGCTTGCTAACTGTGCAATTTCTAACTCGAAAGATCCTCAGCCGGAACTCTCATCATCGATTGTGTCTCAATCATTTGGAGTTCCGGATTTGGCTTTCAACTCAATTGACTCCGCGATTAATGATAGCAGCTTCTTGAATGGAAACTCTTGGGCCCCTCAACCCCAGTTTCAGCGGATGAGGACTTATACTAAGGTAGTTGTTTTAGAATATATTGTGTTCTTTTTTTGTATTTTGGTTTTATAATTTCTACTTTTCTACCTTCCTTTTATCTTGCTCACTTTCTAAGGTTGTCATGTCATTGTTCTGAAGGTGTATAAACGAGGAGCCGTGGGGAGGTCAATTGATATAACCCGTTATTCAGATTACGACGAGCTCAAGCACGATTTGGCACGTCGGTTTGGGATAGAGGGTCAGTTGGAAGATCGTGGGAGGGTAGGATGGAAGCTTGTTTATGTGGATCATGAGAATGATGTCCTGCTAGTGGGGGATGATCCTTGGGAGTAAGTCCCTTCTCATTCCTTTTCGAATCATTTTCAAATATTTCAGTAAGCTGTTCTTCATGTACAAGGATCCCAAAGAACCTATCTCTAGTGCTAAGTCGCTTACGTTCGTGTTTGCAGAGAGTTTGTGAACTGCGTCCGATGCATCAAGATTCTGTCACCACAAGAAGTGCAGCAGATGAGCTTGGATGGGGATTTTGGCAACTCTGTCCTTCCGAATCAAGCCTGCAGCAGCTCAGACAATGGCAACGCATGATGAAAACAGCAGCGAAGGGGGTAGTCTTTTTTATGCTCATTCCATCGAGTGCTAACAATATTCTTGTTCCATGCATGCTTGGAATCCTTAGTAGGGAACATTCTGTTCATATTTGGCTAGCTTTCTTCTTTCGGTCCATAGTCCCACGCCAACCCCCCTGCTGCACCGGTCAACTGGACGTTTCGCTGACAGAGCTAGCTCGAGCTCCGAGCTCGAACGACTGTAAGAAATTTTTGTTCCAGGCAGAGTTAAGAGCTTGGAGATAATAAATAATGTAGCTTTCCCCAGTCAGTGAAGAATCCAGTTTTGGGCGGTATGGATTGTGGTAATAGAAAGGTTCTTGCTACGGTTAAGGGATTAGTATGTATCTTCACGTCCTGATATTTTTCACCCCTTTTGTCCATTGTAGAGAAAGAGGAATCATCCATGATATTAGTGTCCAGCTATTTGAGTGTATCAAATGTGCAGTATTATTGTTCTTCCGAGTTCCTACGTTAAAAGTGAAATGAATTCATTTGTAATGCATCTCGACTGTGTTTCTCGCTGGTTATAGTGATATATGATTCCAGAACCGGACCAAACTCTTTGTCTTCAATTAATTTGGCATTTCAATGAAATGGTAATTAATGAACACTGGTTGCCTTAATATGATTCTTGGTCACCGATAATATAAATTTGAGGCCATAGATTCTTGGTGACGAATCATACTGCTTCGTTGCCAAATAAATTATTTGGTCCGCTAATAGTATTGCCGATATGATTATGTGACTACTGCGAATAATACTGTTTTCGTGACTATTTCTCCGTCGCTAAAGAGAATTTCTGTTGTGGCAAATAATTTCTATTTATTGTTGACTATAAGATCCGAACATAGAGTGTGTTACATGTTCTTATTCTCATATTATTACCAGGACAATATTCTTAAATTTTTTGGTGAATCTTCATCTTTGACTCCTTTTGTGAATTTTAGCATGAATATCGCTTACATATAATGTGGTTCGTTGTTGTAGATTCTTATTTTAGAATAATTTTTTAGGTTGATCGGATTTTGGAACATGCATGATTTGGGGAATAAATTTCTATTTTAAAGAGATTGTAAGTTTAAAACTAAATTATTTTAGCAAATTGAACTGTGAATTAAATATTTTGTGGTTTCACGATCGACAACACTTCCAACAAATACTAACCTCTGTCGAAGTCGAACATTAGACTCCTTGTGCATGGATGGTACGAGAAGCAGACATGCTTATGCATTAGAAACTTGGGCTCCCTTATGTGCTTGTGACAAGCTAAATACTCCCTCACAAGACGGATCATGAATCTTGCGAACATTCAGATTCGAAAGTATGAAAACATGAAGCACCCTAGTAAAAATAAACTCGTTAAACACCAAGTTTGTTGGTGGGTATATCAGCAAGTTGCAAGTGACTGCTAATTTGAGAGGTAGAATGTCACGAGACTGAACACACTTGTAAACAAAATAGCAATCCATCTTCATATATTTTGCACACTCGCGAAACATCGAATTATCATTCATATACTATTTGTAAGCATCATTGTGTTTTTGGTTTTTGTGTTTGTGGATCTCATCAAACCATTGTTATAAGAATCGAATCGAATCAAGAGTTGGACTAGTAGAACAACCAAACCAGTTACAATAACGATTCAGTTCATTTGAATTGACAATTCGAGATGGACCAAGCGGTATTTAGTAGTTTGACATAAAATAATATGAACCACTCTCGTTTGACTGGTCCAATGGTTCATATTTTAACAATAAAAAATTAAGAAACAAAATAATTTTACATAAACTAAGACCATCCCACTTTAATTACTGCTTTTATTTATGCTTCTTTTTTGGCCAAATACATTTGTGTAGCCAAAACTTTGACGGTTTGGCCAAATATAGCCACTTTTGACGAAATACCAAAAATAGCCACTTCCGTCCAATTCTTTGACGGTGTTATTAACACCGTCAACTTATTTGACGGTTCGCTGACTAGGCGCCAACTCAGCGGACATGTCATTGCCAAGTAAGCCAAAAATGCCACATTATAATTTAAATTTATTTAATAATTACAGGTCATAAATTAATGAATAAAAATAAAATAAAAATTATTTATTTATTTTTTGTACTTTCCCAACACACATTAGCGGTGGTAAGTGGTAACAAAACAAATCAAAAGAAAATAAAATCCACAAAAATTTCCATAATTCCTTCTTCCGTAATTCTCCTCTATAGGGCTGGGAAACGGTGCGGTCTGGTCCAGACCAGACCATATATACGGTCTACGGTCCAGACCGAGAGGCTAAAGTACAGACCACAGACCAGACCACAGATTATACGGTCTGGTCCAGACCACGCATGTGCGGTCTGGTTCGGTCTGGTCTAGTCCAGATAGACCACACTGAATGAAAAATGAACAATTTGTTTAGTCAACCACACAAAAAGTTGAACCAATAACCAAGAAAAATAGTTGTTATTTGCCTTAAAACGTTAATCCTAACATGCATGAATAATTTTGATACCTTAAATCTTAGTACATAAGAAAGATACAAAGTAAAAGCATCCCAACTTGCACCATAACGTCATAAAAATCAACATAATGTCATGTGGAGACACAATTATCTCTACTATCTGGTTAAATGCGGTTGTGAATGAAGGAGGGACGAGATTCACAAAATTAAGGTTGAGACTTGGGTGTCGTTGTGGGAGTTGGGAGAGTGGTCGAATGGGTTGTTAACACGTATTGACAAGTCGGTTGGGTCCACGGTTTGGTACGGTAAACCGCGGTCTAGACCAGACCAGACCAAGAGATCAAAACATAAAATAATACAGACCATGGACCAGACCAGACCATACTTAACGGTCTACGGTCCGGACCAAACTGTGCGGTACGGTTTGAACCACGGTTTTTCTAACGGTCTGGTCTATTTTCCCAGCCCTACTCCTCTACCCCAAAAAATCCCACTCTTCTCTTGCTGCTATTCCACAGCAGCTGCTCTTCAGTTCTGAAATTTCCAGGGGATGGGTCAGCGGGGGATTTTCACGACCGGAAGGAGTGATTCTCGCCTTTAGACGCGTAAGTCAGGAGCTTGTGGATCTGCTCGAGCTTGTGGGGGTCGTCAAGGACGGAGAGAGGGATCCCCGTCGGTGCTCCCTCGCATCGATCAATCGAAGGCCATCAACTTCCTCCTGTCACTGCAAATAGCAGAGCAACCGCCAGGGAGCAAGGATTCTGCTTCTGTCTTACACCTCCCAGAGTTCCCATTCCACGGCTGGTGCTCCCTCGGGCCAATCAATCGAAGGGCATCAACTTCCTCCCGTCGCTGCAAATCTGGGTTTCGGAAGATGGATTTGGAATCTGGGTTTCAATTGAGAAGATGAAGTCAGGGGAAAGAAGATGAAATCTGGGTTTCTATCTCCCATCTCTCTTCCTTCCCCTTCCCCAGCGCAATCTGGGTTTCTAATTGACTGTTTCCCTCTCCCAAGATCTCTCCCTCCAGAACCGCCGATTTGAGCTAGAAGAGAACAATCGATTCTGGGTTTTTGAACGATAGGGTTGGGGGGGAAATCGATTCTGGGTTCCAGAATGATAGGGTTAGGGGGAAATCCCTGCTTTTTGATAGCGGGTGTTGGATTCTTGCTTTTCTTTCCGCTGGGTTTTTGCAGGAAGATGACGACGGGAGGAGTTGCGACATGGGATTGTTTTTGGCGTCGGAGTGCTGCTCGCCACCAGCGTCGAGTTCGCCTTCTCTGTATCTGGTGAGAACAAAACAGAGACAGAGATTTCCGTCGGATGCTATGAGCCAGAGGGAGATATGGGTTTGGGGTTGGGGTCGGTGGTGGAAGGAGAGGGAGAGGAAAGAGTTCTTCGACGGCGAGTGGTGGGAGAAGAGTGGATGAATTTTTTTTTGTCATTTTTTATTTAAATTAAAAAATGACATGGCAAGTATTGTTATATGACATGGCAAGTATTGTTGAGTTGTCAATGATGTGTCCGGTGAGTTGGCAGCCAGGTAAGCGTTTGGTTAATTTAACTAACGGTGTTATTGACGCCGTCAAACTATGTAACGGAAATGGCTATATTTGTCATCGAACTTTCAAAATTCTGGCTATTTCTGGTATTTCTCCAAAAGTGGCTATATTTGTCACAAACGTCAAAGTTTTGGCTATGCAAGTGAATTTGGCCTTCTTTTTTTCTGTTTCAAATCCTCTTTGTCGACTTTATATGGTCCGCTACGGATTACCACCATGATTATTAAGTTAAATTTAATAAAAAATTATTATTTTTTGTGAGATTGTTTCATGGATTTGTAAGAATTTTAGGTGATGGATGTTATACATTTGAAATTGTTTATGGTTTGTGATACATTCCTCCTACAATAGTGTATTATAAATATATATATATATCTTTCTTTATATTATAGCACGTGAACGATTCTATTAACGTTAACCAATGATCGTATAACAATTAATCGTTGAACCAAAAACCACTAAATTTTTTGGTTCAGCTCCCGCTCCAGTTATAAAAACAATGCCTAAAACGTACAAAAAACGCAGGAATGAAAATCACAAATTTCACAGACGAAGATTAGGGACGACAATCAAACCCATGACCGGGGGTACCTGACCGCCCCCGACCCAGTCATCGCGAGAAATTCCTGCATTGACTAGTTATGTGACGGGTTTGGGTAAAATGCACACAACGTTTGATGTGTATAGGGAGGGTATGGTTTTAACCTCCCACGCCTCATACTCATACCCATACCATACCCGCCCCATCAAAAGCATTTATGCACGTATAAAATACATAAGCATAAAATTGTAACATATCAATGATAATGAGGATAACTCAAGAAAATAAATAGTAGAAATGTAATTGAGCGGTCACCCAAATCAAAATGTAATTAATTTCTCTCAAATCTCTTAGCTCTTTCATTTTTCCTCTCGTGTTAACAAGATTATGTTAGTTAGTTATTACTTAATAGATTTATCGTATTCTAATAATAATGATTTGGATTACACTTTACTCTAGCTTATAAATTAATTGATATTTTAAGATAAAATGTTTTGAATCGTAATGTCTCGAAGACACAAGTCTCAATATAAGAAACTAAAAGACCAAACCGAACCATGGTAGAAATGATTCTGGCTGGAACATGAGTACATGACCGATATATACGGTCCAACTTTCGGTTAATCCGGAAACAATGGAACCGAACCACACCCATACATTTCACCGGGAGTCATCTCTCGCACATCTCTCCGCTTCGCATCAAAAGGTTTATGAAATTCCGATCACTCCATCAAATAGGGTTTACGGATTACGCTCCCATCAGTTCTTTCTTTCCCTCCTCAGCAAATCTCTAAGCTAGTCCCAGTAATCGAGGCAGCAGTAGCAATGGGCGCGCAGAAGAAAGGCTCGAGCAGGGTTTCGGAGGACGCCGAGGAGCTGGCTCGGAATCCACTTCAGGCCATTCTCTTGGCCGATAGCTTCACCACCAAGTTCCGTCCCATCACCCTCGAGCGCCCTAAAGTACGGTTTCCTCAGTAACAGTTCCTGCTGCTTGCTCTTACGTTTTTCAGTAACGTCCTTGCTTACTATCCTCTTTCGTGTTTGGCTTGCAAGGTGCTTCTGCCGTTGGTGAACGTTCCGATGATCGACTACACGCTCGCTTGGCTGGAATCGGCTGGCGTCGAGGAAGTTTTCATTTTCTGCTGTGCGCATTCGAGGCAGGTCATGGATTACTTGGAGAGCTCGGGATGGCACAAGCAGCCTAACTTCACCGTCGCCATGATCGAGTCGAACAATTCGATTAGCGCCGGTGATGCTTTGAGGTTGATATACGAGCGCAATGTGGTGAGCTTGCCTTGCTGCTTGAACACTTTCTGTGAATTGCTTGTGGTTGTGTAATGCTAGTACTTGTCCGGATTCAGAAGAAAGAATTAAATGCTCTCTCTGATCCGTTTTTGTATGGCATTGTTTTTTCTAGGATGAGAGTGTTAATTGTGAACTTGTTGCTGCTGTATGATTCTGATCGGATATTGCGTTGTTCCTGAAGATACATGGTGACTTTGTCCTAGTCAGTGGGGATACAGTGAGCAACATGTCACTGACTCACGCGGTAAAAGAACACAAGGAGAGAAGAAAGAAGGACAATAACGCAGTCATGACCATGGTCATCAAGAAATCAAAGCCTTCTCCAGTCATCCACCAGTCGCGTCTAGGTACTGATGAGCTGTTTATGGCCATTGATCCTGATACAAAGCAACTTCTCTGCTACGAGGAGAGAGGAGAGCACCCGAGAGGAGCTATATCTCTTGAAAATTCGTTACTTGCTGATAATCCTTCTATCTCGCTTCATAATGATAAGCAGGCTAGTTCCTTCTACATGCTTCGCTTTAGTTTTCTTTATATGCAAATCTATGGGATTTCTATTTTTAATATTGTTTGTTTCTTTTAGTGGTTATTTTTGTGGATGTTGGGATCTTCTCTGAATATGTTCCAACAAATTTATTTGCACTGCCATTGCAGGATTGCTATATAGATATATGCTCCCAAGAGGTGCTGAGTTTGTTTACGGACAATTTTGACTATCAACATCTTCGTCGTCATTTTGTGAAAGGCTTGCTGGTTGATGATGTATGTTTCTTCTAGAACTCCTCGAAGCAGACGGTTCTTTATTTATTTTCTCAATGCAATATAGCCGATGCATCATAATGTGGTACTTTTGTGCAAAAATTCATGTGCAAAGATTCCCACACAAATAAATAGATCAAACATATGTTTGTAAAACTTATATGCGGCTAACTTAGTGCTGGGATCTGCTGATCAAATGGGGTTATATATAATTTTTTTATATCTTTGGCCGTCAGCAGAGGGGTTCCATTGTGAGACTTTGCAGAGTTAGATTTTGCAATCAAAGTAGTGTCTACTGGTTTCATCTTACAGTTAGCTGTATTCAACTCTAGTACATTGGCAACATTGAAATCTGCCTTATGATAGCTGTGCGATTATCATTATTCTAAGTCTTTATTGTCTTCTGAATATCTGCTTTTCACCTTTCAGATAATGGGGTACAAAATATTTACTCATGAAATTCACTCTAGCTATGCGGCTAGGATTGATAACTATAGAAGCTATGACACAATCAGTAAGGATATCATTCAGAGGTGGACATACCCGTTTGTGCCAGATGTGAGATTTTCTGCAAATTGCACAACTAAACTTGAAAGAGAGGGGATGTACAAGGCACCAGGTAGTAAATTTTGTGAACCTTCAACCTTGAAACTCGACATCTATTGTTTTTGCATATCACTTCTGTTTTTGAGGGTTATATTTAATTAGTCCTCCTGCCATTCTGCTGTTGTGGAGGTTTCTTTTGTACTCATGAGTTTGTCTAGTCATCCATGGTGAGACTAGTTCGGGAGTGTGACACATAAAGCACATATTGAACGAAATGTATAAAGATCTGTATGATGATATATATAGGCGTTTAGTGTCTGAAGGATGTGCCACATTTTGGCTGTGTATCCTGTCTCGTCAATGGTAATTGTTCGTGCTCAAAATGCGTACGGTGATACCCAAGAGCATGGTGTCATATCGTCAATGATATTTGTGGAAAATGCCTGTACAATTCTTGTTCTTTGTGTCTGTATTTGTAATTTCAGCTTATATGGCTTCCTTCCCCGGCATTCTATGCTTCCTAGCCTTCATAGAAGTTGAACACTTTATTCGTGCATGCAGTTTAGCATCGTTATTAGAGTGAGTCTATTATGGGAGCTTTTCCTACTTGCTTTTATGTGTGGTGATGAGCTTTCATGTCGTATATTTATTTGTATCTCATTCTCCTCCAGAAATACAACAGTCACGGTCAGCTCATATTGGGCCATTTACTGTTATTGGAAAAGGGACCAGAATTGGGGATGATTCAAGAATTACTCATTCTGTTATTGGAGAAGGATGTACTATTGGATCTAATGTTTCAATAGTGGGTTCATACATATGGAACAATGTTACCATTGAGGATGGTTGTGAGTTGAGACATGCAATAGTATGTGACGGTGTGATTATAAAAGCGGCCGCGACTTTGGAACCTGGGGTTGTACTGTCCTTCAAGGTTATATCGACTAACTCCCTGTTGACTTCATTATTTCCTTGCTAATGTGATTGACTTCCAGTATATGTCTAGCTTGAACCTTTTGTATCTCCTGTTGGAATAAAGTGGTTTGAGGTAGAACTATGTCCAGCTTGAAATTTGCCAAGTTCTGTTCTTTTTTCGATATCTGTGTTAATTATTGGATACTTGTGGCTGAAACATAATTTTGGCCTTGTTGCTCTGTAGGTTGTAATTGGAAGAGGATTTGTTGTTCCTGCCTACTCGAAAGTGTCTCTGTTTCAGCAGCCAACTGCTCAGGATAGTGATGAAGAGTTGGAGTACGCTGATAGCAGCAGTGGAACAATAGATCCATGTGAGTTCTGATCCTGTCTTACCTCAACCTGTGAGTTGAACTATTTTCTTTTCTCCTTGATGCACTGGAAATTGGTAGAGATGAGGTGAATTGTATATTTTTAGTATTTTACTAACAAGAGGCTGACAGTGCAATTATTTGTCCGTCAACTTCTATGTGCTAGCCATTGCAGATGCTGGTAACAAGTTGAATGGGGATATAGTATCTGAATCATCTCAAATGCAAGATTGGTCTACTTCGCAGGTTAGCTGTCATGTGTGTTTGCGGTGTTGATTTCCTTGCAAGATTGATTGTTCTGCATGAACTTTTTTTTGTCATTGGATTATGCAATTCAACATTTGGATCGAACTAGACATTATAGAATCTGTTGCTGCCAGAACTCTGCCTGTTATATGTATGTTCTGCTTTTTCCGATCTAGTCCTACATAGAGAATATACCTATAGATCCCAAAACAGACGATTCTATCAGTAAACAATGTCATCAACTGGGACCAGATATCTTAGTACTGTTTCTGTCCTTGCATATCTTAAGCTTTGTATTTTTTGTTATTTATTTCATGGTTGAGCTTTGTAGGTCTTGTCATGCCAATATGCCATGACACATATCAGCACTGCACAAACTTGTGGTCTTAATTTATCAAGGAAGTTACATGCATTTAATTAATTCCTTTCTATTGGCTGAGCAGCTTGGACCTGGTGGTGCTGGTTTTATTTGGTCAGCTTGTGATGGAGGTTGTGAGGAAGAGTGGAGGCACTCTGTTGCACCCATTCCTACAGATCAGCTTGCCAAGGCATTGCTAGCCATAGAGGAGGATTTGGAGATCGTAAAAGTTAGCGACAGTGCTCTTACACCTTCTGGAGAGCTGGAACCTGGGTCTGACGACGATGACTCTGATAATATGGATGACTCCAATGTTGACACTGTTGATTTTGAGAAAGAGGTGTGTAATTGGGTTCCTTGATGATAAATTTTGCAGATAGATGAATAAACTACTGTTTTAATAATTTGGGTGGTGTTCAGGCTGAAGCAACCTTTTTGAGGGCTGCCCAGGACAATATTGCAGTCGATGATTTGATCCTTGAAATGAACTCACTACGGTATGTCTACTCTCTAGACGTGAACTAATGTCTTAATATTGTTGTCTTATTGAACGCGTAAGTTTTAATGCTTGATAGGACTAGTTAGGGAACAAATCCATGGCCTGCTTTGTATCCTTAAGTGACTGTTTTTCTCTGAACTCTATGCAACATATATCAATGCACGCAAAGTCTCCCATGTCCCCTCTAAGAATAAACATTCATTATTTAGTCAACATAGTATTACATGTGGGTGTTGAATGTCGATGAGCATTTTACTCTGATAGAGGAGCTATAGTTTGGATATATAGGTTGAACCTTCTCGTGTTACCTTAGTAGATGCTTGAACAAGCACTAGCCTGAAGCTTCTAAATTTTTGAACACGGAGAGATTAATGTTCTAATCTTTATCCCACATGTATACTGAAGGCAGACTTGCGTTACATTTTATCAGGTTATCATACAACAAGTCTGCTGGGGACTGTACCGGAGCCTTATTTTATCCAATGATGAAACTGGCTTTGGAATCTCCGCACAACACAGCTGGTAATAGTTTGGGCAACATGTATATTTCTCGTTTCTGTAGTAAAATTTATCGAGCCTTGGTGTCCATAGTTTTCCAGGTTGTACTTGTGCAGTATTCCTTTATTCTCTCTCTTTTTGAACTCGTCTTTAAAGTTCTCCATCCGTGCGTGCGTGGGCGTGTGTGTATTGTATATGTCGGAAGTTTGGTGTATGTCCTTGTGTATCTAATATCTTGGATTCTCCCTGCTACTGGCATTTGTTCCTGCACTGTTCTCATAAGTGCTTCAAAAATGATTGAATGATTTTAATGCTTCTATATGGGTTGGTTGATGGCTTTTCCATTGTTCTCAGTTGAATTGCAAAAGAACGTCGCTAGTGTTGTGAGCAAGTGGCACAAACTATTTGAGGTTCTTGCTAAAGAAGTAGATGACCAGGTTTGTGCGGCTTATCATTATATTTCTTTTGAATTTTTAGCTTACTCATCGATTAAAATTAACGGGCAATAACTTGTGTTTATGGATTTTCCATCTGGCTGCCTTAAGGCGGTCTTGGTGAACAAAGGTTATCCAATAATTTTTGCAAGCCCTTGTTCACTTTTCTAAAATGTTGATAGTTATGCAATCCCTCTACTTGAACCGATGCTCTATTTTCCCCCCTGGTACAGATTGAACTGATAATGAAATTTGAAGAAATGTGTCTCGAGTCTACCAAGGAGTTTGCTCCAATTTTCTCCCAGGTACCCAGCATTCTCAAATAACATCAGCATTGAAGCTCGCTCTCTTCTTATTTCCAATCTACAACAATAGTGCCTCAAATCTTTCTTTCCTTCTAGATTTTGTATCTTCTATATGAAAGAGAGATCATAGGAGAGGAGGCCATTTTGAGGTGGGACGACGAGCGAAAAGATGCAGATGAATCTGACAGGGTTTTCGTGAAACAATCAGAGAAGTTCATTCAAGTAAACAACGGAACTCATTGAACCCACATTATGCAATGTTACCGTTTGGCTGAAATTTGGAGATTATACACTAATGCGTTTATCTGATGCATTTCTGGTGCAGTGGTTGAGGGAAGCGGATGAGGAAGAAGACTGAAACCAGTCAGCAAGGGGAGGTGCTGATTCGATTTTTGATACTCTGTCAAAAGCTGTAGGGAGGTGGATAAGAAATGATAAGATACATACGATTTTGACGCTGATGTCTGGAATTCAGTCGCCACCTTGTAACATCAATTTGTTGCGGCGGTTTTTTTGTGTACTAATCCGCGAGTGTTCATCTGAGCTGAGTTGCTAACTGCAGGTCACCTTGTGAGGTTTTTTTACTTCTTACCCAGTCCTTTGGTTTCAGTTGTTCCGCCATTTTGCACTCACATGTATTATGTATATGATGCACGATAGTGATCGGAAGAAATAATGTCGTCTATCGGCTGTTTGCTAAATGCTGTGTGAAATTTCCAGTCGTGTGTGTTTGTTCATCTCTTCGATTTTCCTACACCTCATATCTGCCAGGTGCAAGCTTGGACCAACCAGCTATGGAGTAGTAGTAGAGATGGTCAAATTAGGATTTTGTTGGTCCCTGGCACTTTAAGAATGAGATGTACGGTACTCTATTTAAATTCAATCCATTTGATCTTGGATTGGTGGATTTAAAGATTGATCCATGAAATTCAAATGGCAAATTACAATTTAGTATATATACTTTTTATATTTTACATTTTGGTACCTAAAATTTATTTTTTATATAAAGAATATTATTGGAAAATTACATTTTGTTGTCTAAAATTTTTTATTGTATAATTTTAGTACCAAATTTTTTCAAAGTTTACATTTTGGTCCAAGACTTAGATGTAATTTGGATGATTGGATCCATGAATTAATCCACACAAATTCATACTATCAAATCCATAAAAATACCAATCCAATCCACTTACTCCATGGATCTAATCCATTTACCATCTCTAGTAATTAGGTTGTCTAGAAGATCACTTCTCAGAATGGAAGTTTTGTGACACATCACCCTAAACACAAGTGGGGAGGATTTGGGTGTTATGGAGAAAGGATTTGAATTTTATAGTTATAGAAAACAACCAACCATTTCTCAAATTGAAGTGTGAAAGGAAGCACAATTAACCTTTGTGTATGGCTCCAATGAAGTGGCCCACATATAAAGAATGTATCATAAGTTGAAGTCAAAGATAGACAAAATCAAACCATGCTTAGTGGCATGGAATTTTAATCCAATAACAAAAGTTACTGAGGCTTCCAACTCGGTGGAACTGGGTGAGAGTACACATAATGTCTGCAATGGATAAATGAAATGCAGCCGGAGGATCATACGATAGTAGGTCCATATTTTGCATTGACAAGAAAAGTAAGAGAGGAATTCAATAGTAAAAAGGTTGGATCGATCTTTGGTTAATAGCTTATGAATTGAAATTTTCCGAAACGGTAGAGTCTGAATTCTGCCACCAAGTCTATTAGATCATTATGGAATCCTTATTCACACATACTCAGCAATTATGACACTTCTCATGCCCCTTCATGTACTTCAATTTTGGGAGACTTCATCCTAACTATGATAGACTAGTGACATAGGGTTGGCAAGTGGCAACATGCATTAGAAGGCTCAACAATGTATTATTTATTTATGCTAGAAACTGAAGCAAATTAAGATGAGATTGAGAAAGTTAAACAAGACTCATTGCTCAGGCATTCATGAAAGGTTGAAGTTAGCACAATCAAATTGCTAGTTGTAGCTCAAATAGAAGTGATGCCTATGTTATTACTTATTAGTACTAATCAATAAGCTTTTATTAATCAATAAGCTTTTATTAAAGAGAGGTTGATTAGTGATAACATAATTTTAGAATATGAAATGGTTAAGTGGTAAAAATGAAAAAAAAAAGTATTTTGTCCTTGAATTGTTAGTTAGTCGACCATGGCCTTTTTCATAATTCTTTTTCATAATTCGACCTACAAAGGTCTGTGTATTTTGTGGTAACGGCGACGTAATTGGGCCCTTTGCAAGCTAAAAAATAAAACACAGAGAAGATCTCCGGCCTCTCCGAGCTTGGGCTAGGGCATTTTTACGAAGGTCCATCTGCCGAACTTGTTTCCGCGCCTGTTTGTGCTTTGGTAAGCCTTACATTTTTGTTTGGCTCTGTAGTTTTTCTTTTCTGGTTGCGACCTGGTTAATCTGCTAACTGGTCATTTTGTTAGTAGATACTAACTGATATCCAATGGTGTATGAACTAATATCCAAGTCTTTGCGAACTAAATAATTCGGGTAGTTGATCGGTTTGGGCTCTGATACCATGTTTTTGTTACTCTCTTATATTTTTATAAATGTCTTATTGGTTTAGTAATCTTTGTTTTATTTTATTTAGGCTAGTTATTATATCCGTAATTAATTCGGTTTTAGAGATAGCTTCTTCTAATGTTTCTGTGATTCCAATACTCATTTGTTCCTCTACGATTTCTGAAGCAAAGTAAGTTAGTTCTTGTGTGACCGTATTGATATAATTTATTGAAGTGAGATTTATAGCATCTATTCCTTCAATTAATTTATTTATATGATAATTAGTAGGCATGTTTTAGATTTTATTCTCTAGATTTGCGATTGAATGTTGCAATTTTTCCAACTTATTTATTACTTGATTATTGGTTATCTCTTCAATTAATTTATTTACTTGATTATTGGTTATCTCTTCTTGTTCTAGATTTTGTTCAATTACTGGGATATGCCTAATTCTCTCTGATTGTGTTTTAATTAATCGTCTTTGATCTTGGGTTATCGATGGTCGACTAGGTTCTATTCTAACAGTTTTTAATGGTGCTTCTAGTTGAATTAAAGGTTTAAAAAAATCTTCTATAGTAATTACTTCCTTATTTTTAAAGGTTAAGCTGTGGTGACTATTTGTTAATGCATAATTTATTTGATAAGTTACTGAAAATGGTTTGCTATTCTCTTTCATAAAATTTTCTCTTTTTAATTCGTATTTTATAATGATAGAAGAGTCAAGATTACCATCTGCCAGGCTTAATCCTTGTTGCAGGTTAATGTCGAATTTAATTATTCCTACTCCTAAATTTCCCGTTCCTTTAGCAATAATACTTTCTTCTTCGTTTAGGAGCCTATCATCACGAATTTCTAATTCCATGGGTGCGTCAATTCCTATTTTCATGGTTGATTTTAATATAATTTGAATTGTACTAATATGAATATAAGCTATTTTATTTCGTTCTTCTGGTCTTAGTTTAGCTAATCTTTTTCTGATTTGTTCTTTATTTATTACTTGGATTAAGAAATCACCCTTAGTTTGATCAATAGGGACTGCTACTTCACCTATCATTTTACCATATTTAATAATGTTTTCTCTATCAAAGAGCTTTGATAAAAAAGACTTAGTGATAAAGTTCTGAGTTTCTGAAATAGTAAAATTAGTTTTTTCTCTAATTTTCTTAATGTCTATAACACCATCTAAGAAGTAGTTTTCATTATCATTTTTGTTTAAATAGTCAAAATAACTTGAGGTAGGATTATCAGACATACCTGACTTGCTCTTCTGATGAAATTCTGAGCCTTTTGATGATCGCTTGATGATTGTAGCTTCTTTCCGTGCGTTTGATTATATTGAAAATGATTGTGGCCTCCAGGATCAGTGGATCCAAGCCTTACAACTAGCTAGCTAGAGGGAGAGAGTAAACAGGCAATTTTTATGGCCAAACTCGTTCTGCCTTATTTCATTGCAAACTCTTGCTCTTATATAGAGCTGAGGGGAGATACAAAGACGTCATTGCTTACGTTTGTGCAACAGGGACGTAAAGCTAATACGTTAAAAGAAAACGCGTGAAACGATAAGAAAGCTGATAAAATACAATAATGCACGACTTTTTTAAAGGAGTCGGCCAACCTTCTTTTGTCGCTTTATTCCATGTTTGATTCCTTTTTCTTCACATGCTTCTGTCAGTCTTGGTCTGCTGGTCCACTGATGTCTTCGTCAGTTGCTGCACACCACTCACAGAGATGGTCTTCATAGATAGTAAGCTCATTGCATAACTGTTTCTTGATTTGAGTGGGAAGGGCTGACAGATTCCCATTAATTTCTGTGAATTCCTTAATTTTATCTGTTATGATTGCCCATTCTTCTTTGGTTATGTTTCCTCTTGTTTTGCTGGTGATGATGACATCGGGGCTGCTGTAATTAACTTTAATCTGGCTTTCCGGTTCAATTTTGGTTAATGCTCTGCATACTGCAAGAAGACCCTTTACTTGGTAGTCTGGGTTCTTCTCATAGTCTCGTAGGTCATCTCTGGTAGGGTAATCATGGTTTGATACTCCCATGAGGATAACTGCCTTTGATCCGATCAATAGCTTGTCTTGATCGAATACGGGGTAGCTGCTTGTATATTTGAGAAATATTTCTCTTTCCTTGGCGAATAGCTCGAGATATCTTCTGATTACGTTCCTCATTCTTTGTGGGAAGTATTCAAATACCTTCATGGTTGTAGTGTAGATAGTGTCGATTAATCCATATTGATGGAACTCAAAAGAGAGTTCTGGTGATGCTTCTTCTGTGATTACTGCTTTGGGTCCTCCTCGACTGACGGGGTAGAAACCCATGGTCGTGTGTTTTTCTTCATAGTTGATTATCATATCCCAGTTGGATATGAACTTCTGAAAGATTGGTTTTAATTGCTCTTCTTTTTCCTTGGTGGTTAGGATACTTTTGATACTGGGTATCTTCATGACAAGTTTCTGCGACTGTTGCTCTTGATTCTTGAGTGGTTCTTTCATTGCCATCACCTTGTATGATTGTCTGTATGCTTCGTCGGCTGCTTCTTTTGTTTTAAATGATTGATGTTGGACTGGTTTGCCGTTGATGTGCTGGCTAGCGATGGCCCAGTTATGATATACTCCTCGGTATGGTCCATTGAATATGACATACCATTTGCTGCTTTTTCTGTCGTCTTCTTCGTAGTGGGAATCTTTTGTTTCTTTTTCTTCTTGTTCAACGATGTCTGCCCATCGTGTTGTCTTTTGTATATTATTGCTGGTAGTGGTGGATGATTGTATTGCTGTCGACTTTTCAGCATGTTCTGTGGTCAGTGTTGATGGCTTTCCACTAGTGGAGCTAGTTGTTAATGTACTGACGTCGATGTAGTTGATTTTTAACTGTTGCTGAATGACGTCGATTGATTGAATTATTGCTTCTTCTTCCCCCCTGCAAAGGAGAAGCTGTTGTTCCAGTGCTGCACTCTTTTCACCCAAATTATTAATCTTCATACCAAGATATTCAATTTCTTTTTGAAGAAGTTTTGATTTCTTCTTAGAGATAATTAGACCTTTTTCTTTTATTCTCTGTAAAACTATCAAGATTTTTTCACGATGGTCTTCTTCTGATTGATTTGTGAAAATAATAATATCATCAATGTAAGCCAAACAGAACGATTGAAAACCTTCTAATACATGATCCATAAACCGTTGGTAAATAGCTGGTGCTTGTTTCATCCCAAATGGGAGAACATTCCATTCGTAATGTTTTTGTGGTGGACATGAAAAGGCTGTTAAAGGTTTGGTATTCTCATGTAGACGAAGTTGCCAATATCCAGATTTAGCATCTAAACTACTAAACCAAGTTTGACCTTTTAATCTTTCTAATATATAGTCTTTCCTAGGTAGTTTATAGCTATCTCCTATTGTTTGTTCGTTTAGTTTTTTATAGTTTATTACCATTCTTCTTTTTCCTCTTTTGATTTCATTGTTATTTTCTACATAAAAGGCTGGTGCACTGTGAGGACTTTTACTTTCTCGTATTATTCCTTTTTCAGCTAACTCTGAACATTCCTTTTGGAATTCTTCTACATCTCGTTGAGTATATTGAATTTTGTTAGGGACATTAACTTCCATTTTAGGATCTTTTAGTTTAATTTCGATAAGTTCTTGATTGGTATTTTTATCTTTATCTAAAGGATGTTCACTACACACCTGGTCTAAAGTATCCTCTAGAATGCTATAAGTAATCTGTATATATTCTAGTCTATTTTTGAGGTTTTGAAGCACAATTTTTAGCACTTCATTTTTTGTGATTATTCTTGTTGTGATTATCTTAGATTCCTGGTCTATTGTTTTAGGACATCTAAGGCTGATTGTTCTAATTCTTTGGATAAATGGTTGATATAATTTTAGAAAGTTATTTCCTATTATTATATCTAGTCCTGAGTCATGTTGATATATTGTTTTAGCTGTGAAGATATGTTTTTCAATGATTATTGGTACATATTGTTTTACATACCAAATTTCATGGATAGATTTGTCTGCCACTATAATTTTTAAAGGTTTTTCAAGTTTATCCCATTTTTTTATGGTTGATTTTTTGGCAAAACATAAGGTTGCCCCTGTATCAATATATGCTAAGAAGCTTTTCTTCTCTATTTCAATTTTAATAAATGTTGCGTTAGGATTGCCCTTAGTTAAAACCTTCTTCTGACTCATATGAAGAGGTTTCTGAGGTTGAAATATATTCAATAATTTCTATATCGGATAGTTCAAAATCTGTTTCTTCGATTGGTTCAAAACCACAATCGTAAGCTAATCTAAGGACTTCTTGTTTTCTAGTGTTAGTATTTTTCTTAGGACATCTATTTGCGTAATGTCCTTCTTCGTTACATAACCAACATCTACAATTTGTTTTTCCTTTAGGACAGTATTCTTGTTGTCTTGATTTTTGTTTATACTGTTTTCTATTTCTGAAATATTTATTTGGTTTTCTAAACCTATTTTTTCTATATTCTTTGTAAGGTATTTTTCTCCATTTTTTATAATTTCTATATTTTTTCCGAGTTTTAATGATCTTACGATCATCATTACACCCATACTTTCCAACTCTGTCCATTGTTTGTTCACAACAGAGTTTAATTTTAGCTTCTTTCTTTAGTTTTTCCTTATTGCAAGCTTGTTTATGCCATTCTTGTAAAACTAATATTCGTCCTCCTAATGTATTTGGTATCTCTTCTTTAGCCAAAGTTTCATTAAAGGTAGCTTCAACTTTTTCAGAGACATTAGGTGGTAATTTAGCATAGAGTAATTTATCCATCTCTTTTCTTATCGAAGGGGTGACTTGATAATAATGTGTTCTGAATTCACAAATAAATGGTTCTAAGAAGCACATGTTGCAAATTCTAAGATTAGTTAAATGCCAAATAGCTTGTTGACTTATGGTTGTGTTTGGTTTATCTTCTCGAGGATGTCGTCCTAAGAATTCATGAGTTATAGCATTTAAGACTTTTTCAAAGGTATTCGTCGCATCTGTTGTTCCATATAACGTTGTCTTAGTAGGAATATCCATGTTGTTAAGATAATGATAAACTGCCCCAGTTGTTTTATATATTAAGAAATTAAACATTTCATTAGGGTGTAATTTCTTTAGATCTTCATTCGTTTGTATTAGTAATCCTGTTCGATTTTTCCAGTCTTCTAATTCTTTTAATGGGTTGACGCAACAATCAAGATCTAATATATCAGGATTGTTAAAACTAGTGGTGGAATATTTTGGTATGTAAGATTGAGGTATTTTACTCCATCCTCCCCCTTTGCGAGGTGTATACGAATTTTTATATAAGTATTCATCAGAAAATAGTTGACCATCTTTATAGTCATTAAAATCACGCTTCCGTGATGTTTCAGCTTGATCCTCAGTTTCAGTTTTCGTGTAATTTGTATTTGTGTAATTTTTATAGGGGTTTTCGTCACTACTATAGTCAAGAACTATTTTATCGTTTTCTATATTTTCTTCTATTTCTGGTTCTGATTCAATAGTAATTGCGGCTAGTAAATCGTTTAATTTATTAATCTGTTCGTCAATACTAGTCATAGAAGTTTGTAGGGTGCCATGATAGTTAATGGGATAGATTTTCCTGATTTATGCTCATTCAAATATTCTTTTATATCTTCAATTGTAATGCTTCTTTTATTATCTAATTTAATTATTATTTCTTGAAGTTTAATAATGATTTCCTTAAGATCTTCTACCGGTAATACTATTTCCTTAGAATTTGGAGTTGTTTTTCCCATTGCTATTTCTCTTTGTTTTATATCCACTATTATATTGGTAATTGTATCCTTAGCGTGTTCTAAATCTGAATATATATCTTTTTGTTTTTCATTACCTTGATATTCTAATATTGATTTTAATTGCTTATTATTGTCTTCTAATATATTTATTAGATTTCCTTGATATTCATCTATTTTTCTTCCTAATTTTTCTAGTTTTATCGAAATATTTTCAGTAGCCATAATTTGTCTATAAGGTGGATATTAGTTCAACCATTTTGGATACGAGTTAGTATCTGCTAACAAAAGGGCTTGTTAGCATTTTAACTTTTTCGTTCTGGCCGTTTGTTTCCTCGGAAAACCGAAGCGAGGCGAGCAAGCTTCCTTTGCCTACTCTTTCCTCCTCCTGCCTGCAAACCTTTGTTGAGCGAATCCGGTACTTCACTCTTCTCTCTCCCTATCCCTACCCCGGCATCAAGCTGTGAAGAACGCTGCTCCCCGCCGGCCTCTTAGGTTAGGTAGACATTCTGCCTCGTCTTTGTTCTTTCTTACTTGAATTTCTGCATCCGCATTTGGTTAGCATTTGATGCAATATCAGTTAACGAGAGGTTCAATTTGTTGCCGAAGCTAGGGGATTTGGTTTTGTTCATGTTCCCTTTTCATCTCCTTACCGTTGAGTTTTGAATTTTCACTTCGCACTTTTGGGTTGAATTCAATTAGGGGCGAGTTGGAGTTGGAGTAGGCCTGTATTTTCAGGACGAATTTAGTCAGGGCGACTCGGGTAGTGGTGTTTGAGCTTTGTTTAGTCGAGCAGTGATGGAGGAGCAGTCAGTAACCCCTTCCGGGAAGCGGAAGGCACCTGAGGACAGCGTAGTTGCGGATACCCCTCGGCAGGATTCCGCTCAGAAGCGTCAAAGTGTGACTCGCAGTTGCGTGCATGAGGTTGCAGTGCCTAGTGATTATACTTCGCCTAAAGATGGAACTACGCACGGAACTCTGTCGAATCCAGTTTACAACGGTGAGATGGCCAAAACCTACGAGTTTGTGCTGGATCCGTTTCAGAAGGTATCGGTTGCCTGTTTGGAGAGAAAGGAGTCTGTTCTCGTCTCTGCGCATACTTCTGCTGGGAAGACAGCAGTGGCTGAGTATGCTATTGCAATGGCATTTAGAGATAAGCAGAGGGTTATATATACTTCCCCGCTGAAAGCTTTGAGCAACCAAAAGTATAGGGAGTTGCAGCATGAGTTTGAAGATGTTGGTTTGATGACTGGTGATGTGACACTCTCACCCAATGCTAGTGTTTTGGTGATGACAACGGAGATTCTTAGGGGAATGCTTTACCGGGGATCACAGATTTTGAAGGAAGTTGCATGGGTTATCTTTGATGAAATCCATTACATGAAAGATCGTGAGAGAGGGGTTGTTTGGGAGGAGAGTATCATCTTTTTGCCACCAGAGATTAAAATGGTTTTCCTTTCTGCCACAATGTCGAATGCTACAGAGTTCGCAGAGTGGATTTGCCGTGTGCACAAGCAGCCTTGTCATGTGGTGTACACTGATTTTCGGCCAACTCCTTTGCAGCATTACGTCTTCCCTGTTGGTGGATCTGGCCTATACCTTGTTGTGGATGAGAATGAACAGTTCAGAGAGGAGAATTTTATGAAGCTGCAGAATTCCTTCTCAAAACAGAAAACTGGTGATGGGAACAAGAGTGCTAATGGTAAAGCAGGCGGTAGGATAGCAAAACCTGGCAATGCTTCTGGAGGGTCAGACATATACAAAATTGTAAAGGTCTGTAGCTTAGCTATTTCATTAACATTGTTCTTTGGTTTGTCTTCTGTTAAAGTTCTTCTATTATTGTGTTATTCAGTGAGTTTTAGATGGACTTGTAAGGCATTACAAGTGTCTGTTCACTTTTCAATATAAGTGCCAGGTAAACTTGATGAACGGTATGCAGGCTTCAAATTGTTATTTTTAGATGGCATATTGCCTTCACTATGCCCTCTGTTAAAAGGAAGAGCTTTTTGGATACATTTTTCTGTCTGCTCCGCATAACGTAAACAAGTAAAAGCTTTTGGGAGTTGACGAGATTGGTACTTATTTGATTCATAAAAAAAGCAGACTGTAAGGAAGGAAATACATTGTAATGGTTGTGTTCGTGCTCTACCTCTCCCTCCAAAAGTTTCCTGCAAATTGTACAGAAATGGCAATCGTAGATTGCAATGTAACATTAGTATATGCTCATTATTGACCCTTATTCTTAATTCATCTCTGTAAAATAGCATCCACATATTCTTACTGTCATTTCCCCAGCTTCAAATTTGGTATTTTTACTTCAAATTGTTTACGTCGGTAGCCCTTTACTGAGAACTGCATGGCCTACTAAATTGTATTCGACAAATTAGTATCTTTTTAAGCTGGCCAAGTTTGTGACTTGTTTCCAAGATTGAATTTAGTTACCCCCTGCCCTTACCTTAGATACGTCAATTTTGTTTCAGATGATTATGGAGCGGAAGTTTCAACCTGTTATCGTTTTTAGCTTTAGTCGAAGAGAGTGTGAACAACATGCAATGTCCATGTCTAAGTTGGACTTTAATACACCGGAGGAGAAGGAAATGGTGGACCAAGTCTTCAATAATGCAATACAATGCCTGAACGAAGAAGATAGAAGTTTACCTGCCATTGAATTGATGTTGCCACTACTTCAGCGAGGTATCGCTGTACATCATTCTGGCCTGCTTCCTGTCATTAAGGAATTGGTTGAGCTTCTTTTCCAAGAAGGCCTTGTGAAGGCATTATTTGCTACAGAAACAGTAAGTTTACTTCCTCGAAACTTTGAAGCTCAATAGCTAAATACATGGCATTTGAATTATGAGCCGAGATCAATCATGTCGTTTAGGAGCTTTTCGGATTTGCTTCTGTTTTTTACCCTGTAATCCTCCTTTTGCTGGTCAAGAGGCTTCTATTGTTGTGGTCTCCTTTTTACTCCTCTGCTCGAGGGGCAAACTAGGTAAATGCTAATTGAGTGCAGGTGTTGAATAACTGATTAAGCAACATTCTTTTTCTTCTTTTTGACAGTTTGCAATGGGTTTAAACATGCCTGCCAAGACCGTTGTTTTTACTGCTGTTAAGAAGTTTGATGGTGATAGTCACCGTCACATAGGATCTGGTGAATATATCCAGGTGAGCAGTGATACTTCAAGGGCAATGCTCATGCATAAGTGTTTGAGTGAGCCAGTGTTCTAACCATTATACGATATCATTGTTGTCAATTTAGATGAGTGGAAGAGCTGGACGGCGTGGCAAAGATGACCGGGGTATTTGTATCATAATGATTGACGAACAGGTAAGCATAAAGTTGGATGCTGGATATTTTAAACCTAGTCAACGTTAACTTGGAATGCAGCAATACTTGTGAAATTAAGTTTAAGCAACAGTTGTTTTATGGCTACCCTTTTGGGGAAGGAAAGATGACAAGTCACTGTCTTGCTCAATTTACTGATCCTGTGCAACTATTGCAGATGGAGATGGAGACTCTCAAGGACATGGTTCTGGGTAAACCAGCTCCTCTAGTTAGTACTTTTAGGCTGAGTTATTATTCCATTTTAAACTTAATGAGCCGTGCGGAAGGCCAGTTCACTGCCGAGCATGTGATTAGGAATTCATTCCACCAATTTCAATATGAAAAGGTTTGGTTTTGCCCCTTTCTCTTTGTACAAGTGATTAGTTAGTCTGGTGACTAAAACTGTTGATTACTCCCCCTTTCAGGCTTTACCTGATATCGGCAACAAGGTTTCAAAACTTGAACAAGAAGCTGCTAACTTGGCTTCATCCGGAGATGTAACGAATATGTTCCACATGTTTACATTTCCTCTCCTGTTACCACTTGGTTTCATGCACTACTAACTTTGGAAAGCTTTCTGATACTTTGGCTAGGGCAAAGTTGCTGAATATCATAAGCTGAAGCTAGAGATCGTGCAACTTGAGAAAAAGATGATGACTGAAATCACAAGGCCTGAAAGAGTACTTTATTATTTATGCCCTGGCCGACTGGTACGTTCTGGACATAAGCATAGAACTGGTGTTGGAACGAAGCTACAAGGCTGATTTCTGAATCTATATTATTTGGAAGTCGTCGTCTTTGAGGTTTATCATTTTTGCTATTAATACTAGGTGTCTGTCTCATTTCAAAATGTCACCTTGATTCTGTTTTGAATTTTTTGTCTATAGGATAGCCGTATTATGTCTGTGTTAACAGCCCTTTTGGAAATTATTCATATTCTAGTCTGTCGTTCGGTAGTATGTGTGTCGTGTTCACAAGCTACCATGTAGGTTATTAACGACATCCTCCTCGAGTGTGTTTGTCTTTTCTACAGCCCTTTTGAAAATTACTCATATTCTAGTCTGTTGTTCGGTAGTATGTGTGTCGTGTTCACCAGATACCATGTATATTATTAACGACATCCTTCTCACGTGTGTTTGTCTTTTCTGCAGGTCAGAATCAGAGAAGGTGGAACTGACTGGGGCTGGGGGGTTGTAGTAAATGTTGTGAAGAAACCGTCTTCAGGGATGGGTGCACTACCCTCTCGTGGTAGTGGCTACATAGTGGATACTTTACTTCACTGCACACCTGGATCAAGTGAGGGTGGCTCAAGGCCCAAACCTTGTCCTCCTCGGCCTGGAGAGAAGGGAGAGATGCATGTGGTAAGTTTTGAAGTTGGATGTAAACTCTTTCACCTTCCAAGCCATGTATTATTGTTGCTCAATAGTATATGATATATCAGCCTATGCGTCCCATAAATTTTTTAGCACTTCTCTTAGATTTCTTCTAATTTTTCTCTTCTTGCACTGTAACTCTTAAAGATGCTGACATGAGTTGGCGCAATCCTGACTCAAGTCTGTACTTACTTCAGGTCCCTGTTGAGCTGCCCCTGGTTTCTGCTCTCAGTAAAGTGAGAATTACCATTCCGTCTGATCTCCGACCATTGGAAGCAAGGCAAAGTATACTTATAGCACTTGAAGAACTAGGATCTCGGTTTCCTGAAGGTCTTCCAAAACTTAATCCAGTAAAGGTAACTGCTTGACTGTGAGTTGAATGTTAGAAAGTGCATCTTATCTATAAGGATGAAACAGAAAGAAATGGTGTTAGTAATATGTAACTGCTCTAAAAATATCATATTGGTTTGGACCTAGTTCTGCAATCATCATATATATATGTTGGTATGCCTCGCCCCTGAAGATTAAAGATGTATGTTAAGGTTTCTCGTTAAAGAATAAGTAGCAGTACTAAAGAGTTAGTCACTAGAGAGATGGAAAGACCATTTTTAGTCCTTTCAGACGAGCATTTACAAGATTTATTCACACCCCCGAGTCATTGTCTTTAGTCCTTTCATACGAGCATTTTTAAATTTTCCCAGTATAAATTATGTAGAAGTGGCTGACGTTCGATCTTTCTAATAGTAGAAATTATGAAGTTTTCTCTTGAGGTTACCTGCATTTTTGTGGTTGTAAATTACCACTGCCATTCTAAGTGTTCTTTCATCGAATGTACTTCCAGGATATGAAAATTGAAGATCCCGAAATTGTTGATTTGGTCAAGCAAATAGAAGAACTGGAAAGGAAGTTACATGCACATCCTATGCATAAGGTAATCTTGCCCTGTGGATCAAATTTGTGCCTTTGTTATGATAGTGCATGGATGAAAAAGTTGTCTCACTGGATTAGTCATGTGATATCTTGCTTTCAGTCGCAAGATGTGAATCAGATTAAAAGTTTCCAAAGGAAGGCTGAGGTGGATCATGAAATTCAACAACTCAAGTTAAAAATGCGAGACTCACAGGTATTTTACCTTGGTGTTTGCAGAGTGAACATGTAGAATCTGTGTTTCCTATTGAAGGTCATCCCTGTGATTGAAATTAAGAAATATGATCCAAGTCTCTTGCAGAAGAGCCAGTTTGATTGAGGTTGTTTCAGTGTCTACCTCTTATTTCTATATATTCAGACCAAAATTGGAAAAGTTTTGTTGAGCCTCTTATAGAAGTAGCAACTTTCATCTTTGTTTTGTATGATATGGTCTTTGAGGCTGAACAAGTATGGTGGAGAAGTTCTATCTGTGATAATATCTTATGTTGCAGCATAGATATCACTATTGCTCATTTTATCTCTATCCACTCTGGACTTGGTTCTTGTTCTCCCAGTACCCTATTCATTTTATTGAGACACCATTGCTCTCTTGTTTTTGGAGCCTCCATAAGAGTCCTTGCTGGTGCAACAATCACCACAATTTATTTTGTTCTTATTCTTATATTTTCCCTCCCTCTTTAAGGTTCCTTTTACCTTAGGTCTATGGTAGTCAATTTTATTCTGTGTTCTCATCTCTGCTACTAAAAAATTTCATCCTTGATAATTGCAGCTGCAAAAATTTCGTGATGAACTCAAGAACCGTTCACGAGTCTTGAAAAGACTTGGTCATATAGACGGTGACAGTGTCGTACAGCTAAAGGGTCGAGCAGCCTGTTTGATAGACACAGGAGATGAACTTCTTGTAACTGAACTTATGTTTAACGGTAACCTAATTACTGCTCCCTCCTAGCAAGCCCTCTGTGTTTCCATCCTGTGTGTACAGCTTTTCATCAAAATAAAAGTGGATGTACAGCTTTTCCCTAGAAAATGTTGTATCATGTGAAGCTTTTGCATATGGCTGAAATTGTGCACAATTTTTTGGTTCTACGTTAAGTGCAAATATAGGTTTGCTAACTGAAGCGTCTAGCTTATGATCTCATAAAGATTTGCTTCGCTAATCTAAAGACACTAACAGTATATAGTTAGTTAGAAACGGCTTCAACTGACACTCAGTGATGCTGTTTTATGCATGCACTATGTTGCGGTTGGTGGGGTGATGATTTTTGTCCATCAGATTGGTCATAAAACCTATGACTATCATCCGTCAGTGAGCACAGTGAACTTTAGTCTATAGAAAAGTTGCATGTGGAAATAAGATTTGTTTTTTCATTTGTCAGGTACCTTCAATGATCTTGATCATCACCAAGTTGCAGCTCTAGCAAGCTGTTTCATTCCAGTGGACAAATCAAACGAGCAAATACACTTGAGAACCGAGCTTGCTAAACCATTACAGCAGCTCCAAGAAAGCGCAAGAAAAATAGCCGAGGTTTCATCTTCAGCACACTTCTTTTTCCCTCTTATATGCCTCTCTCAACAGTGTTCAGCTTTACAAGACCAAGACAAATTTGACATAACACATAAGGGATCAACATGATTGCAGATACAATATGAGTGCAAATTGGAAATAAATGTAGAAGAGTACGTTGAGTCAACTGTGCGGCCATTCTTGATGGACGTGATCTACTGTTGGTCGAAGGTAATCCTCCCATCTCCACGCCTACCTACCTTTGTCTCATCACCTGATAGTCCAGCAAAATTGTTGTAAATGTCTCCATTTTTCTCTTGTTATTTTTGTCTCTCTTCCAGGGTGCTAGTTTTGCAGAAGTTATACAGATGACTGATATCTTCGAGGGCAGTATCATTAGGAGCGCCAGGCGATTGGACGAATTCTTGAACCAGGTAAAACCACGACCATATATTTTCTTAACACTGCTTTAATTCTAGATTTACGTCGTCATCAACTTTGGCCGAGTTTCTTATTTGTTCGCTTTGCTACTCGACAATCCAGTTACGTGCAGCTGCTCAGGCCGTGGGAGAAACCAGCTTGGAGGAGAAATTCGAAGCAGCTTGTAAAAGCCTTCAACGCGGGATCATGTTTGCGAACTCTCTGTATCTGTAAGCCGCTAATCGTTGTTTTGCAGGTGACACACTTTACTCGACAAAGATCGAAAGGGAAAGCAACATAGGGATTTCCATGTGAAGTTTACTACCATTCTCTGTATGTTGTAAGTACTTGGGACACTTTTACTGGGACGAGAAAAAAAAAAAACAAACAAGAAACTAGAAAGCATAAAGCAACGACTCTTGATCCAAATCTGTTCAAGGTTTCCTTCTCCAGACGACACATTCAAACCTCGATCGGATCGAAAACAACCGTCGAATGTTTGGCAATGTGCAGACTGAACTGCCCTCCTTTCTCAGTCACATCAATCTTCTCTACTCCCGGCGGAGCCTTCATCTCGAACTCACTCACCAGCTTCCCGATCACCATCCCCAGGATCGGCATTGCCAGTATGATCCCAGGGCAGCTCCTCCTCCCCATCCCAAACGGCAGGAACCGGAAATCCACTCTGCCTCCAGCCACCGCTGCATCCGTCTCCCCTTCCTCCTCCAAGAACCTCTCCGGCCGAAACTCCTCCGGTTTCTTCCACCACGCCGGGTTGTTGGCCAGCCACCACGCGTTCACCACCACCTTCGACTCCTTGGGAATCGTGTAGCCACCGAGCTGGGCCTCCTCGAGGTTCATGTGCGGGACCAGCAGGGGGATCGGAGTGTGCAGCCGGAGCGTCTCCTTCACCACTGCTTGCAGGTAAGGGAGGTCATGGAGTCTGGATTCGGTTACCGGGTTGCCGTTCAGGACGCCGGCGATTTCTTGCCGGATTTTGTGCTGGACCTGTGGGTGGTTCACTAGCTCGGCGATCGCCCACTCCATGGACCAGAGGGTGGTTTCGATGGCGGCGACGTTGATGTTCTCCACGATGTAGAGCACGTTGGCTTCGCTGATCTCGCCCTTCTTCTCCGAGTCGATTATGTGGTCCATGGCGCAGGTGAGTTTCTGGGTTTTCTCCCCATCATTTCCCGCCATTATTTTCCTGTTAACGGAACAGAATAACATAGTTAGTTGGTTAGCTTAGGGAAAATTTCCTAATTCAGGAGTTTGGTTATTGAATCAAAATGTAAAGTTAGCTACTTTACCTTCTCTGTTCCACGTAGTGGTTGTTGAAGAAAGCCAGCCGCCTCCGCTGCAAATCCCTGCACTTATTCAAATACCCCCTCAAGAACGGCCGCAACAGGGGAATGAAATCGCCATAGTTATACTCGAAGCTCTGCGCCAGCCGACTCCTCTCCGAGTTAAACCTCGTCGCCTCCACGAACAGAGGATCATCCACCGACTCGAACCCAACACCAAACATCATCCTGTACATTATGTTATACAGCATCAGCTGCAGCCTCCTCCTCACCACAATCCCTTCTCCTCCTCCCTTCCCCTGCTTCCCCAAATCGCGGACCACGGAATCCATCTCCTCCTCCCACATCCCGCCGTAGCTCTGCACGACCCTGTTGGTGAAGAAGGGCAGGGTCATGATCCGCCGCATCTTCCGCCAGTGGTCGCCGTAGACGGTGAACACCATGTCCTGGCCGTTCCCCGTGAAGATGTCGAACACCACGTTGCGGGGTCGGGACCCGAATTCTACACCCTGGGCGTGGAGGACCTGGTGGGCGAGTTTCGGGTCCGAGACGGCGACGAGGTTCTTGGAGCCGAGCTTGAGGAGGAAGACGGGGCCGTGGGTGAGGGAGAGGGAGGCGAGGAGGCGGTGGTTGATGTCGTTGCCGAGGTGGAGCCAGTTGCCGAAGATTGGGATGGATGGAGGGCCGGGAGGGAGGTTTTTGTTGTTGTTGTTGGAATTGTGGTGGAAGATCAAGATTGTGGTGGTGATGAGAGGGATGGTGAGGAGAAGGGAAGGAATGGTGGGAAGGAAGAGGATTGCTATGGGGAGTAGAAGGAGGAGGAGGAGGAGGAGGAGGAGGAGGATTGGTTTGGTGGATTTCTTCATGTTGTTTTTGAGAAGTGGAAGGTGAGAGTTTGTATTGAGTTTTGGTAAGGGGAAAATGGAGGGAAGTTTATATATAAGGGAGGAGATGGTGGAAATGGAAAGAGGGTTTTGGGGTAGGTGTGGATGGCAAATGGTTTTTGGTAACATGTCTATGGGCTAGGCTTTTTGAGTATGGTTGTTTTGTTTGCTTGAAAGATTCTAACTCAGCCTAGGAGTTTGACTAATAATGAGGTGGGAATTAGGGATGATAAAAGAATATCCACAAATTTTGAGAGAGTTATAGCATGCTTTTTTTTTTAAAGTTTGGGTCTAAATTAGATTCATTATATTGATAATAAAAAAAAATTATATTCAGTTTTATTGTGGTTCTTGTCATTTTTTTTTGTACAATTATTTGGATACAAATGGATCAATTTTGAGTGAGACCAAAATTGGACTCTATTCAAATCCAACTTAGTGAAGGAGGTAGGTTGGAGCTAGGAGGAGCTATAGCACCCCTTGAAATTGAAAATATAAGTAAATTTACTTGTAAAATTTGTAATAAATTAAAGAAATAGACCAGTAAGTAAGACGTTAGCCCCCTCCCAATTATCACGCTTCAAGTCAGCCCTCCCCCCACTCATTCGGATTCATGGCTCAACCACTGCAACTCAAGCTCAAAATCATTTAAGAGTGCTTATGTAAGTGACCCAATGCACATATGATAATGATAATTAAGTCAAATTACTCAATAAGTCGACCCATTGTCATTACCAACAGAATGGAGTTGGACATGATCGAATTTTTTTAAAGATTACTACAAGTAAAGAAGATTGGGAAAATCAGTCGATAGTAGTAGCCCACTAGGAAGTCTTTTTGAGATTATAACATAGTACATTGAAGTTGGCTTACTATTGAGAATTAGGATATCAATTAGGCTAGAAACCCTGTTTATGTTTATATAATGTAGCTAGGTGGATTGGATTAAAATTGTAGCAAAAAATTCGTCGAGGTAAGGTCCAAAAGCAAATCAAGTTGCTCTTATGAGCACACAATAATTACGTTTAAGTTAACTTTGTATTTTTTTCAAGCATGAGTAGTTGCAATTGATTAATCAAAGTTTAGTTGTACATGAATCATACGAATAAGTTGTAACATTTATTATATTTCAGATCCAAAATCTACAAGAATCGAGTTGAGATTGTCCATAAAAAAAATTCAGGTGAGTATATATAAAATTATATGGGGTTCGAAACCCAAAATACTAAATTATGAAACAAATAATCCATTCAATTTTCAAAATTTTCATTTTCGAGTTAGGTCCTCCAATGTGGCTCCACCATTGACTAAAGGAAATTATTCTTTATCTGAATTGTACTCGAATTATCACTGTTCTTGTTACCAAAGTAGTTGGTATAGTTTCATTTTGATTCATGATATTATCATCTCCAAAGCTTAGTTCCACATCTTCTTAAATTTATGAAAATGCATAGTTAATGTTTGGTTGGCATATTTTTTAATCCAAGGGGGAAGGACATGAACGTGTTTAATTCCGGGTAGGAGAGATTTAGAATGGTTTTAAGTGATCTATTGATGAAGTCAAAACACTTCAGTTGGTAGTAGGCAGGCAGGCAGAGGGGAAGGAAAGAAAGAATAGCGTATGAAATGCCAACAATCTTCAAAAAGTGAAAAGTGGTGTCTTCAATCTTTCTATAACGTGGTGTAAAAAAAAATCTTTCTATAAAATTTTAGCCAGATTTGGTTCTCCACGTACCACGTTGTTCATAATGAAACAGCAAGTAAGAATAGACAAGTTAAGTTAAGTCTTGTTCAGTTCTTGGTGCTTGCGAGCTAACTTGACTAGTTGAGCTTTATTCATTTCGAGCTTACGAGTGATTCGATAACGTGTCTAGTGAGTCAGCTTGACTAGTTATCGACTTAATATCATATCTACATATAGTTTTTTTTTTCTCCAAGAAATGTCAAGAGAGAACCTATACACACTACCCAAACCCTGCCCAACCCATACATTAGCGAAGCCAATCCACAAAGTCAAAGGAGTACAACTCTAAAGGGGAGAGTAACAGGGCTTTCTGCGCCACTCTATGGGCAGCCCTGTTCGCAGTCCGGGGGACTGCCCTAAACTCTAAGGAAAAAGACACAGAAGATAAGATAAGAAAGCAATCCCGAAGCACCGGTCCTCCAATGGAATCTGATAATACACCTTGACGCAGCTGACGAATCACCACCTCTGAATCTCCTTCAATGAAGACCCGGGATAGCGATTTGGAGACCACAAGGAAAATGGCGTCTCTAGCAGCAAGGAGTTCTGCAAGGTAGGGATCAGCAATACCAGGGTGAAGAGCACCTACAGCCAGCTCCACACGCCCGTCTGAACCTCGCACTACTAGACCAGACGAGCATCCAGAGGAGCGAACAGCAGCATCAAAGTTGATCTTCAGAAAGCCAACAGGAGGAGGGGACCAGGAAGAGCGGCGAGAGAGGGGCGGCTGGAGCGGGGGAGCAGGGACCAAAGGGAGGGAGGAAGACAGTTCTTGAAGTTGGAAAAAACACTGACGAGCGAGAGACTGGGCAAGAGGTTGGACATATCTACATATAGTTATGAGCTGACTTAGTGATAGCTCATAGAGTTGTTAAATTATGTGTTTCAAAGCATATTATGGTTTAAGAACAATATAACACATAAACATGAGACCAGTTAATGAAGAAAATTGACTATTGTTCTTTTTTCATCGTGATATTAGTCACATGTATAATCTATATATGGCATACAAAATCTAGAGGTTGGGATTCTCTAAATTGGGCATGTTTGGAAGTTGGGATTCTCTAAATTGATGTATTTAATCAATGTATGTATTATAATTAGATGTATTGTTTCAATGTATGAATTTGAAAAATACATTGTTTGGAGATTGAATGATTTTGGTGGTCCCTCAAAGAATAAGAAAGAAAAAGTAAGCTAACAATACCTCAAACACAATCTCTACTAAAAGCTGAGATTTACAATCATTCATAATGAATGATTCTGGTGGTCCCATCTGCTGTTCAAATACAAGTATTCTGTTTCATTTTAAGACAAAAAAAACTACGAATTCTTCTGATTACATGTATTGGCCAAATACATCATCCGAAATTCCAACTTCCAAACGACCCCACGTAATCTATAAATTATTTTAGAATTTGGTTAGAAAATTCCACCATATAAATTCATCAATGAGTTGAGCTTGAAGCAAACTCGTGAACTGAATGATGGGCCAACCTCGAGTGGAACTTGTGATCTCATTAATGAGCCGATTATGAGACGAGATTGACTTCAACTCGTTTTATAACGATAAAGCCTGAGTTAGGTCAAAACTCAGCTCAATTTGCCTCCTTCGCAGCTCTTAGTAACATGGTTCAAATTGATTTCAATTTGGATATGGATCATTGATAGAATAGAATCAAGTCAAAATAGAATAAAACTTAGGAACATGATCGGAAATTGCATTTGGTTTGTTTGGTCCTGCTAGCTTTTACCCGACCCATTGGTCGGATGAAATAACACGGGGTTTATATGCTACTTCCCTATTACGGCCTTCATCTCTCTATCACTTCCTTCAATTAGCTCAAAGTTGTGCTGAGATTCTCACACCTATTCTCGTATGAAATTACACAAGGTACAGATCTCAACCTCTAAAAGCGAACGAATTTGAGATACAAAAATCCTTGCAAGGGTGTTTATGCATCATTTAGTAAGGAGCTAATATGGATTGAATGGTGCTCGTAGAACTTGTTTCATGTTTTTGATTTTGTCGTCATCAATTTCGCCGTCTGTTGGAGCAAGTTATTCTGCATTGTCATTACTCAACTGAATGAACTTCATCATATGTTTTATTGAAATCCAATGTGCTACTAGATGAGAGCCAACATTGGTTTGAATTTTGATTGATGATGGGAGATGGAGAAGAAGCGGAAAAGAAAGTCAGAAAAGGGGTTGGAAGGAGAGGTCACGTAACCATTTATTTGCCCCACTTAATTTTTCTTTTTTGTTAATGAATATTTTTCCTTCTTTTTGTCTTTTCTTTTTTTATTTAAGTTGATTAGGATAAAATATCAAAAAATTCAAGTTGTCAAGTTAACACAAAAATACAATGTCAGGTTATTCTGTTAATACTGTCAGCATAGATACGCCGGTGTTGTTAAGTTTAACATATTTCATGATGGAATGAATATATTTGTAGTAAAAAATAGTCAATTTTTGTAACGAAGGTTGATTTTTTTTTTGTTATGCATTTGTATTTTGACTAAACTACACGCACAATTCAATATTTAATAATCAAATCAGAGTGAATTGAGTTTCAATTCAGGATTAATTTCATTCTATAAGACATCACTAATTTCAAATACAATAAAGCATAAAATATCAAATATGTCTCGAGTGTTTGATTAAAGAAATTGCAACAAATACTTTGTATTTTAGTTGGTTGTAAACTTATAATGCTCTTCTTCAATTAAGTGAACTGGGTTCAAATCTAACTAATGCACTCTTTTATATGTAAACAAAAGGGGTACAATAACTAAATGGAGCATCATAGAATCACATCAGATCACGAAATTTGAAATGACGACAAATACAATGTAGTCTAGTTGGTTATAATGCTTTTTCTTCATTTGAATGACATGAGTTCAAACCTCCATAATGTGCTTTTTAATATGTAAACAAACGGGGTACAATTACTAAATGAACATTCCTAGAATCATTCGCAGGCCACAAAACTTGAAATGAGTGTTATAGTTTTCTCATTTAGCTTTAAAGTTATGGTTTTGTTTAATGAGAGAAATTACCTCAAATATGATGTAGTTTAGTTGGTTAAATGCACTCTCTTCATTTCAGTGAACAAATGAGTACAATTACTAAATGGACTTTTATTGTAAAAAAATAATGGTAAATGGACTTTTCTACAATCCCACGAAATTCGATGTGAGTGTTGCAATTTCCTCATTCAGCTATAAATATATTTGTTGATGTAGAAAATTCGATCCTCTCCCATTG